AGATCCAGCCAATGGTGAAATTAGAAAAGAGAGTGTCAACATTGAAATGGGAAAAGATTTTTTTCATAAATCAGAAGAAACTTGAGAAAAGGGAAGAAGAACAGACTGAATGGAAGATAAACCTATGGGAACTGGAAGATAAACTGTGGGAAACTGGAATAATGGGGAAGTGATCAAAGAAATATAATGGGGCTAGTTCTTCAAAAAAATTGTAATTAAATGGTTTTTCTTAACTCAAATAATACACACAATAATAGAGGGAGAACTATTTGATGAATTAAAAATACTGACATGGATGGTTAGTTGGCAAAGGAAAAAAGCCAGAGTAAGGCTGAAAGAAACTAGGGTTTTGATTTATTAGGGGGGATTTTATACTATTGATTAGAAGGTTGAAGATGGTCGAATATAGATATTTTTTTTATAAATTAAAATAATATTACAACTGAATAGGTAAGATGTCTAATAAGATTAATAGATTTTTGGTTTAATATGTGTAAAAAATAGAATTTTTAAAATAGAATAAGATTATATGCAAATAGATAAGATGTATATTTAGAATATTAGATTTTGTTATAAAAAGGGGGAAATGTAGAAGTTGAGATAAAGAAAACTCTAGTTACCTCAAGCTTAGAAACTATAACATACCAAATGTTAAGTTGAATATTGAGGGGAAATTAAAGCCTGGGGGAAAAGCTACAACAGGACAGTGATGTATATAAGATTGAATGTAAACACAATTAAGATATGTATAAGTTCAAAATTACTGATAAATGTAACAAAAATGGTTTTACTTAGTTGATAATAATAAGAATTATATTAATTCAATATGAGATAGTAGATATTAAGGGATAAAGAGAGGAAATATCTGATGTTGTAATTTGAGATTTTTGCTAAAGATTTATGTATGTTATGGAATCATTGATTACCCAGCCACCACATTGCTTTTTAAATGTTTAATTGTAAAATTAGAAAATCAATAAAATATTTTTTTAAAAAGAAAACTACAACATTACATTACTTTTTGACATAATCGCCATTCAAATTGAGGCACTTGTCATAATGTCTTACAAGGTTTGAAATTCCTTAGTAGTAGACACTTGGCGCCAAATCTGGGCTATAGGTGGGGTGATCAAAAACATCCCGACGGAACTGCTTCAAAAGTTCTTGAGTGCATCTAGTGGTGTGTGCGGGCGAGCATAATCGTGAACCAACACCACACCGGAAGTGGTGCCATAGAAAATTCCGCCAAATGTGAAGATGCCAAAGGAGTACTGCTATTGAAGTTCATGGAGCGTGGTTCGACCCTCAGTTCAGAAGTCTACTGTGAAACATTACAAAAACTCAGATGAACCATCCATAACAAGTGTCGGAGCATGCTGACTTCCAGTGTGGTGTTGGTTCATGATAATGCTTGCCCACACACCACTAGACACACTCAAGAACTTTTGAAGCAGTTCCGTTGGAATGTTTTTGATCACCCCACCTATAGCCCAGATTTGGCGCCAAGCAACTACTACTCCATAGCTGAGATTTGACGCCGAGTGATTACTACTAAAGAATTTCAAACCTTGTAAGACGTTATGACAAGTGCCTCAATTTGAATGGCGATTATGTCGAAAAGTAATGTAGTTTTCTAATGTGTATAATAAAAGTTCTGTATCTGCGAGTGTCTGTTATTGATAACCAAACGGAGGTTTATTTCCGAATTGCCCTCGTATGCAAGAGATCACTAATTAATTTTTTTCTTGCCTCCATTGAGTCATGTTGTCCATACAATCACTTGGTTCATATCCTAGAGAAGAGAGTGTCTTCTAGCTATACCAAAACAATGTCAAGTAGCTAAGGTGAGTTTATATTTTTAGAATAAATATTTCTTTTGTTAGCTGCCCCAAAGTAAAAAGCCACATTTTCTCTTTGTTCGTAATACACGTACCTGAATCATCTAACCAAGCTGAATGGTAGAATGCTCAGAGCTGGAAAATGGCAGGATTTCTTCCCATAGAGCATAGATAAACCCTGGAATTCACTTCCACATGATGTGGTGATGGGCATCGCCATCTTTAATCGGACAGCTTTAATTGTGTAGACATTGATTGAAGAATAAAGGTAATGATGCAATCCTAATGATGTTATACTGCCTTAAGAATCAAACAGCATGGCCTTGAACCTTAATGATTAAGAACACCATTGGGAGAGAGCTATTTCCCATATGATGTCTTTGGTAGGCAGATTGAATTGAAATGGGCTTTTGATCTTGACTAGCATGTTCCTTCTTACTGAATATCTTCATGTTTTCCCTCACCTCATCTAAAGATGTTTTTATTGACTTTTATCCTCAGGTATGATCAATAAGGTTGTGGTAAACAAGTAGTGTTCCATTAATGGTCAGGAACAGGTAACTAGGAAGAGGGTTGTTCCCTTCTGTTCATTCCAGCAATATAAACATTATACCTGTACAATAGTTTGCTATTAGCACTTGTAAAAGAAAGCCTAGCCTAGGTTTTCAGTAATTTGTGCATGTTTGAGTGAATGGTACACAATTCATTATGTTAGTGGAAACTATATCTAGACAGGCAGCAAATGATGTCATATTATCTGCCATTGTATTGGAGTTTCTAAGCGGCAGAAAAGCTAATTTGGTTTGAAGCGTTAAGCTCTCCTATGAACTGTGCTCCCTTACTACTTCATTTTTCAAATAAAGGGGCTGAATGCCAGGTCTGATTAGAAGTTATCCACCAAAGCTAGAAGTCTTGTGTTGTAGATGAGTTACGTCTGTAGACCTTTGTACATGTCCAGTTTTTCTCTTGGATTTTATTGACATTTTGTTATTCTCGAAAAGACAGCCAAGGACCTTCCAGGTGACTTCAAAGAACCAGAACCAAACTGTCAGTGCCCCCTTTCCCATGATTACCGTAAATTAAAAATGAAATGCTTCTGTGGAGAGGTGAAGACGTGACAATAAGTGGACCAGCTGGCTGACAGGAGTAATGTAAATGGCTAGTTTGTTTTTCATAATCCTGAAGAATCTGCAGCCTCAGATTAGCTGGGTATCATCTTCACAATCTTTCCCCCCCCCCATATGTCCATTCAGTTTGTACTTGTGGTATATCAACAGCCAGGATTATTTTCGTTTTCTTTCATGCTCAAAGATAACTTATGGTCTTACCCCAACCATAAGGCCACTGACTCCCATGCCTTCATTTTTCTGAAGTGCATTATTACTTTCCAATATAAATACCCAGTGCCTGACCTTGCTTCTTTCCAAGAATCAAATATGAACAAGGTTGTGGTTAGACAGCAACCAGATCAGCCTTTCACTTAGTTTCCAAGACTATTCCTCATTATGCTTTCAGAACAGTATTTCTGTTCTGCTGTAGTGCCTAGTTTAAACTCCCAGAATTCCCAAGTTTAGTTTGGCAAAGCAGCCTTTATCAAAATCTGTTTCCATAAATTCATAATGCATCTGTTGGTTCTCTGATTCTCCTACTTTTAACTCCATACAGGTTGTCACCCTCCATGTGAATTGCTGACTTTGAGTTCAATGGCAACAGTCAAACAAGAAATTGAGGGGATTATAAGAACCATTTTCACAGTGCCTAAACTGATACGTATCTTCTTAAAAAAAAAAAAGCTTTCTATTTCAGCAACACTTCCTTCCTGTCTTTCTTTGACAAACACTAATGTCTCCATTTTCTTCTTTCTCTAACTCTGAATTAGGACGATTAAGACTACAGGCATTAATACACTGAAGAGGCAATTTTTGTCTTTTGTAATGAGCCTTTTCAATATAAAGACCGAAACCTGACTTGAATGCTTGTTTGACTTATTCTTTCCTGATTTAGAGTAGCTAATGTTGAATCACAGTGGATAAATCTCCTGCATTTTAGCTTGTGAGGTAGGCCATGAAATACTGAGAAGGAAGTAAGTAAAAGGATATTGGGTAAAGCAACCCCTCCCACATCCAATTCATGCAGAACACCAGAGCCAGCAAAGAACACTAAATCAATATTTGGTATAATTACTGTAATCTGGCAGTTTCAGATGCAAATGCAAACAACAGGATAAAGAAAGTAACATAAAACAGTTGCTATAGCACCCGTGTTTAATCACCAGGCATAACACAGCAAACTAAATTATGTGTTTAAAGTTTAATTTATCTCGTGTAGGCTACCTGTGGGATTATTGTGAAACCAAAAATAAACTTCCTGTAATTCTTTTGCCTTTGTCAATGATTTTATAAAGGGAATAGTTTAGTCTTTTTTTTTCTTTTGCCTTTCACCATCAGAGTGATTTTGTTTATTAAAGCTAAATATCCTGATAGGATGTAATCTGGTTTCAAAGGCATAGGATTAATGCAGAATAAAAAAGCAGAAAAAAAATGATGACTCAGCCCATAGAGATGCTTATCATATTATTATGATGTGCTGGTATCTCCTTGGTTGGCTTGATATTTAACAGAGGTACTGCTTTAATCTGTGTGTGTGTGTGTGTGTGTGTGTGTGTGTGTCTTGTCTTTGTGGAGCATAGAAAATAGCAACATAGATACATGGTTTTAAATGCCATATATATATAGAGAGACATCAGAAAGCTTACGCCCAGTCATTTTAGTGGTTTTAAAGGTTAGCAATGAATTATTGCTACTATTGTTAGTAATTTTTTTGCAATTTACAGCTAACAAGCTAAACTGGGAATAGCTAATAGCCAATGGAGGAGTATTTATATTAAACACAATAGCCTCATCAAATTATAGAGGACCTTTACTAGCCTGACCCCTATTAGACAGAAGAGATTTGGACTCTCATATTTTCTATCCAGCACATCAATAAGTTGCAGATGACTGAAAGTATACTTCAGTTTAGCAGGATTCTAGGCTTGGGCAGAGCCACTCAGAATTCTGAGGAAAAAAAATCTTGACATCTATGCTATTGTGGATCCCTTTAATTTTCTATTTTTTAAAAAAAAAACTATTTTCTCATACTCTGCTGATATGTTCATTCCAGATACCTTGCAAATTACAACAGCTTAACAGACAAGCATCTTACAGGGTATTTCAGCAACACCAGGATAAGACGTCATCTGCGGAGGTCAGGACTGGTAGGTGTGCAAATATTTCTTAGTTTCTCTAGATTTATCTCGCCAGCTTTCTCTTAAGGAGTTTAAGAAGACAGATATGATTTCCTCCACTCTTACACCTTGTGAAGTTGGTTAGACTAAGAGAAAGTGACTGGGTCTGCATTATCCAAAGGGTTAGCTGTATAATAATTTAAACTAAAGTCCTTTGTCCAAAACTATAATCAGGCAATGATTGAATATTTTTTCTGTTTCCTTGTTTCATGCCTCTTCTCTTAAACTTATTAAAATAGACTTGTTATTTTAATCAAATCTAGCCAAAACCTCAGGCCTTACCTGTATTGAAAATGCATGCCAATGCACTTTTATTACAGTTATCATAAATCATTGTGACAGCACCCAAAGTTACCAATTAAGGTGACAGCATAATATAGCAACCAATATACATTAAGGCTGTAGCCCTAAGTTCATTTTCTAAGGAGTGTCCAACTAAATTTTGTGGGACTTACTTCTGAGTAAGCCTCCATAAGATCGTGCTGTATGGAAATTCTCACATATTTTCACAAAGGTAAGAGTATATACCTTTGCATATATGTATGTATACTATATATGTGATCTATAAGGTGAGTCATCACATAGTGTTATCTGAGATAGTGGGAACCTGAAAAAGCCTAAGGAAGAAATGGGTTTTAACTGGTTATTTGCAAGGTTATTTTAATAGGAATTAAATTATGAGTAACTTTGGAAGCAGAGTAGAAACCTAGAGATTCTATCACTGGTCTTGCTATTACCTGTTATTTCTATTGGAATAATACAACTATATTGATTTTAGTGTTCCTAAGAACAGTCCCCACCTCTGAGAAAACAGTCTGATGTCATATTGGGCTCTGATGTCACATTTCATTTTGGGATACAGTCTATTTCTCACACAATAGCTTGTATCCGTAGATGTTATAAGCCACAGTGGCATCAAATGACAATGTGTACATCATGTCATTGTACCATTGATGACACTTTCACAATTTCACCTAGAAATCTCATTTGACCAAAACCAGTTATCTAACCAGCCTCTGCCCATCTTCCAAACCCACATATTGTCATTGGCAGGTGCTGTCTTTTGTGCCAAAATGGAGGATAAGTGGGACATCTACCATTAAAAAGCAGAGATGTCAGATTCAAGTATTTCAACTATTGTGGTAGCCATGTACCATGGAACAGGAACAATGAATAGAAATAACGACTACTCCAATATTATATATACTGCTCACAAAAATAAAGGGAACATTTTAACATGGAACTGAAGGAGTTTGCATTCCCTTTATTTTTGTGAGCAGTATATTTTCTTTTGCTTAATTTATTTAATAAAACACAGAAAACACCGAGAAAAAATTCAATAAAACAAAAGCAAAAACAATGCAAGATAAATTGTATATATATATAAGCGTTTCTCATGCATACATATGAAATTGTTTATGTAACCATTTCACTAGAATCGTTTTACAATTCATTGTAATCGTTCACGCATAATCTATGATCATTAGGCAATTCATTCATAGGGTGAATGTAATATCAGGTTCAATTCATTGAATAATTGGGGCTATAAATTTATTTTTCTAATGTTGAAGAACTAATCTCTTGGCGTTAATGAGGGCATGGAGAATCCATTTTTGTTGTCCAGCTGTCAATTCCCATGTTGCAAATATGTAGTTCAAAAGAACATGTACATACAAAAATAGTAAACTGTATTTCAAAAACAAACTAATGCTTGTAAATTACTTCTTCCCAAAACAGAGTAACATTAGGACACTGCAAAATATGTCCTTTAATGAAGTACTCCAGTTGCCTTAACAACATGATAATTTACTCACACTCCAATATTAGACCTGTTGAACTTAATGAGTAGGATTAGTGAACTAAGGTCTGTGCATTTAATATTGAATAAAGATGAATTAGAGATGAATTACCGATTAATTATTACAGATTGTTTCAGATTTATTACAGAATTACAGATGAATTAGAGAATATCTCAGAAAAGTAGAATCTCCTGCAATCTCTTATAGAATGTTCCTTGACATGCAGACATAAAAGCCAAATAGCTTGACTATTTTCCTTTTTTTCTCCGACCAATTGGGCTATTTTACAAATGTCTTTCTCCTTCAAATCTGTGGGAGGAAAAATATCTAAAGCAGCCTGAGAAGAATAGAGAAATGACTTATGCTTTCAATTCAGCAGATCCAAAATCTAATCACCTAAACTTTCAATAGTGTAAGTCTGACTTTCCAGGATGATGAAATAGTAGCCACAAACTTGGGTGGCTTTATTGATTTATTTCATTTATATCCTGCCTTTTCTTTAAGAAACTCACCCTCATTTTTATCCTCCAAACAGCTACGCTGGGAGGTAGATTGGACAGAGAGTGTGTTAAGGTCAGTGTCATCCAGTGAGCTTCAGGATTGAGTGGAGACTTGAACCTACATATTTGAGTCCCCGTTCAACTGTTGTAGCCATTACTACCACATTGGTAAATTGGACAAATACATGGGAGCTAATCCAATCACGATGCTGTTTATATTCCTTTCAATACCAGTGACAAAATGCCTGTCAACACTGGATGTTGGGGAACATAAATGAGAAGATGCTATTTGCACTCCTGTCCCCGAACACCGACCTAATCAATTTATTTTAAGTCACAAAGAGTTGGAACTGTTAAAATTCCGTACACCTGAAGTTGAGGGTCTTAAGGTGTCGGTCGTTACGACCGACACCTTAAGACCCTCAACTTCAGGTGTACGGAATTTTAACAGTTCCAACTCTTTGTGACTCAATCTAGAAACAAACCAAACTAGACAAAAATAGATATTCCTCCCCCACCAGCCAAATGTACTTCTTACCAGTAGAGGGCACTTTCACACCATCTTAATCCACTCTGTTGCTTGTGTGAAAGGGCTAGAATTGCTTCTTTGTACACCTTTAGATCTTTAGACCATGATTCTCAGTGGACCTTAAATGGTTAACAAATGTGTTACTGCACATCCTTGAAAGCCCGTGTTTCATTACATGCCTAATAGTGCAGGAAGAAGTACAAAAATAGATCCATCTGGAATATCCATTCTTTTGTACTGTCTTGCCCTTATATTATAATCCTCTACTTAGTGGAAGGATTTGGGTTTTTTGTTTTTTTTTGCTTTATATTGCCATTTCTGCTTGTTCATAAAGTTAAGTGATCTTAACCTTCTCTGAGAAAAACAGCCTTAAGCCAAAATCACAATCAAGTTAGAATTTTAGTTGAAGGATTGTGCTATGCTCATCTGTGTCAGTAACGCAACATTCAGTAAAGAATGTGCATGTCTGTAGATAGGGAACTAAATTTCTTAGTTTCTTGAAATAATGTATTTCTCCTCCATTCCCTTAATCATCTGTTGTGTTTACTGTGAGCAGATCATACTTTCCGATATCAGAAAAGAAGGCCCATTGTTTTACTCTTTGCCTGCCATTTTATTCGGGAAAGTCTATAAAGTGGGAGCAGGAAGCATTTAACAGTAGATTTTTTTACATGTTTATGCACATACATTGATACATAGCCGCCATGCAACAATATTTAGTTTGGGGGTAAACAGCAATAGGCAAAGAACAAAAAGAAGTATAAAAAAGAAATCCAAGGAAACAAAAGATATGAAATAAGAAAAGGAATAAACCTAGTTTAGGCCAACCTATCTGACTATGCTTTCCGTATCTTTCTGAATCTACAAAATGTCTTGCTTCCAGCACATGTGCTCTGCTTCACATCTTGCCTTTTGTTATTTAAACGCCTCATTGTCTCTTTTTGAGGATCTCACCCATGGGATCCAATCATGGCTTTTTTAGTCTTCTTTTTGACCCATTCTTTCTTAATAGATTTATTTGCAATTTGATGCTCATTCAGTCTCTGTCTATAATTAAGCTACCTAAATTGTTTCGTAGTGGTCACTCACTTGTATACTTGATCCACATTTGCCCAGTGCTCATTTTTTCTTGATGTTCTTTTTAGTTTACCAATAGAAGAGAATATTTGTAGCTCAGGGTTGAACTCGGGGTCCTTGTTGCTCTCTGAGCTTGTGGTTGTTTTCTTGCAGACGTTTCATTACCATACTAGGTAAAATCATCAGGGCTAGAAGAGAATTTGTTCTTCTCTTTGTATACAGGTGGTTTGCCCTGTCAGTGCTGGTGGCCTTTTTGTTTTATTACTCACCACTCATGTTCCTACTATATTCAACTTATATTCAATATGCTTTTTTCTGATCATCCAACTCCCAGCTACCATATAACAAAGCAGGCACAAGCACATTCTTTTGCACATCTATTTTTACTTCCTTTAAACATTCTTTCCTCACTGCCCACTGCCTTTCTAGAATATTAAACATCTTCAGATTTTCTGTCCATCTTCTCAGGTTAAAATAGATATGCTGTTATCTTTGACAATCCTTAATGAGTTTCTGCTGACCAGGACTGAACAACAGGGATTTAAGGATTCATTTATAGATAAGAGATGAGATATGGGAATAAGAGATCATTGGTTGTATTTTTAGAGGAGGGGATAAGTTACTTAAATGGATTATACTTGTTGTGATGAAAGGGGAAGTCATTTCTTTATATATTTCTTAGCTTTTTATTTACTGTATTATTATTTTTTCCTGTTCTTCTTTTCTGCATGTTTCTTCTTTCTTTTATGTTTTACTTTGTATTAGCTTTTTTTAAAAAAATTGTAATGTTTAATAAAATTACTATTAAAAAAGAAAAGTATATACACATGTATTTCCCTGATCAATATCCCTGTATCATCGCTACTAGTATTCCTTTTAATTTATTGATTAGTACATTAAAAAAATCAAATGGACTTGTCTCACTCTCTTTCAGTGTTGAAGTACTTGCAAGCATTTAACTTATCTTCAAGTTTTCTCTACTTACATTGTATCTGCTTTTTATCAAATTCAACGTCTAATTTTATTTGCAAAGCATTTCATTTCACTAAAGCTTATTCATTTTATCACATTTGTTCATCCATTTCTTCACATAGAGACCCGTTCAAATTTGTCCATGCATTTTCCTATCATTAGTTCGACTATGCTACACTTTTTTGTTTTTATTTAACTAAAAGTTGCAATCATTTCCTTCATGTACTGTCTGAATTACAAATATAGGTAGTCCTCAACTTATGACCATAATGGAGTCTGCCCATTATGGCTATAAGTCATGACAGCCATGAAGCGAGTAATGTTTGCTTTGTGATGGGGTTGCCAAAACATGAAGATTTTTTTTAGCAAACTCATTGTAAATTGTGATCATGTGACTGTGGGACACTTCAAATGGCTGTAGGGGAGGCCCAGCTGTCAGAACTTTGGAACCAGGTCATAAGCATCTTTTTGTGTTTGTGTGTGGAGTCTATCATAACTTTGAATGGTGACTTAGTGACTGAGCATAAGTTGAAGACTATTTGTACTCTGGTCTTCCATGTACATTCATGTCCGCAAGCAATAGCAATAGGGCTTAGACTTATATACCGCTTCACAGTGCTTCCCAGCCCTCTCTAGACGGTTTACAGAGTCAGCATATTGGCCCCAGCAATCTGGGTCCTCACTTTACCGACCTCAGAGGATAGAAGGCTGAGTCAACCTTGAGCCGGTCAGGATCGAACTCCTTGAGTGAGCAGTGAGTTAGCCTGCAGCACTGCATTCCAACCACTGCGTCACCAAGTCTCATCATTCTAACATAATCAAAACTATTCTACATACAGTATATTTAACACACTAGTACTATTTCTTTTATGGCCATTTTCAATTTCAATTCAATTTAATTTAATTGATTTAATTGATAATCTATCTTATAAATAGATTATCTTTCTGCAGTCAGTTTACTTTTACTTTTAAAACTAGCAAACAGTGCTTGTCCCACATTTAGAACATTCTAGCACCTTCTAGTCTTCAATAATTCTCTCAGGCTTTCATTATAAATAGGGAAATCAGTCATGTTTTAGATATATTAATTCTTTTGCCATGTATATACACGAACAGAGTCTGCTAACAGCTGTTTGAAAGAAATGTATCATTTCCAATGCAGATGCTCACCAAACAGTCTTCGTTCATTCATTCTTGGTCACTGAATCACTTCTGTAATCTCTTATCCAGTTGCCATCATCCATTCACTTCACTTAGCAGAATATTTTTTTTTCCTTCTGGATTGCGTTCATTCAAAAGGTTGCATAGTGTTCTCCCAAAAGCTCATATTTGGCTCTTCTATTAAATCCATTTATTGGAGTAGGTGAAATCTGTATAATTTAGTTTAGCTTGTACTGTAAACTCTGCCCCTTTGGGCATCAAATATTTTGATGAATATAGAAAAGGACTAGGTCATGCACTATAAGTGCCACAATGCTTCTTTCCTTAGTCTGACCCTCCTTGTTTTTCCTGAAGATGCCACTGTCTGGAATGTAGTATGCAACTGCCATCAATATAGGAATTCTGATTGTTCTCTAATTGTATTCATTCATTCATGCTCATTAACATTTACTCTCTTAAATTCTAACTTTCAGCCTTCATTATGGAATGATTGTCACCAAGTAGGCTCATAATTATTGACTTCCACTGCATATCATAGTTTTGGTCAATTTAAAATATCACATAATGCTTTTAGTAATTTTCTTTATAAGTTACCAGTTTTAGTTGGTCTTGTGCCTTCTACAACATTGGTTAATATAAAGTGTAACCAAAGCCTAGGTTTACTCCATGTATGCTCACTCTGTTTTGTACAAGCTAGGATCTAAAATCTAGAGGTACTCTGCAAGCCAAGATACTGCTGCTTGTATCCTACCAACTCAGGCATCGTGTGGTGTATTGACAGACATCCAAGATGGATATTTACTTAGAAGTATATCCTGCAGAGTTGAATGATATTTGCTATTTAGTATATGTGCCTGGGGTTGTAATTTAATCTAGTGGGATCTCCATGCACATACTCAAGATTATATGTTTCATACTGAAGTGCTTTAGATAAGAGATGAGGGCATCTTAAGTTTCAAAGGAAGGGGGCAGTTTTCTAGTGTATTAAAACAACAATGGAATTTTATGTGTATATTGGTTGTATAGGAAGCAGGAAAAAGGATAACATGAGAATCCAATAGATAATCTCAGTAATATAGAACAGTAGACTGCTTGGTCAAAAAGCATTCAAATAGAAGCCATTTAGAGGAGAATCATGCCACCAAATGAGCCACTTAGCATTTTCAAGTGACATTTGAAGCTAAATAAGCCTGTTCTATGCTCAAGATGTCTAACACACTGAAAATGACTGATGAAGAAGTATTAATGGAATTTGAAGCTTTGTTCCATCTTAATAAACCTGGCTCACTATCAATAATACAGCAGCAACCTACTTTAATGCTATGGGAGACCTTTTGGTGACATGGATGGATTAGGTTCTATGTAGACTTGCTATCTTGGCACAAAGCTTGGGCTTTTAGCATAGTTATATTAAATCATTTCTACCCATGAATGGCACCAACTAGAAAGCTTAATATTAAGCTATTTCTTACCAGGCTGCTGTTCCATACTTTTTTCAGGCATGATTTGTTCTTGAGTGGCTTCATAAATCTGCTATGTCAGGGCATGTTTCCAGTTGATAATTGGAAGGCTACTCTTCAATGCTTGAAAGGATGTGTATTTTAAAAAGGATACCAAAATTAAACTCCAGCAATTCAGCATTTGGATTTCAAAATCATCCTTCTACTTATAATATAACATAGTTATAAGAAGTGTGTGGTTCACAAAGGCTTCATGGGCTCATGTTAACCACTGAATCATGATGGCACAGTGGTTAGAATGCAGTATTGCAGACTAATTCTGCTGATTGCCAGTAGTTCGATCCTGACCGGCTCAAGGTTGACTCACCCTTCCATCCTTCCAAGGTCAGTAAAATGAGGATCCAGATCGTTGAGGGCAATATGCTGACTCTATAAAATGCTTAGAGAAGGCTGTAAAGCATTGTGAACCGGTATATAAGCCTAAGTGTTATTGCTATTAAATCCAGAAAGCCAGTTCAACTCCCTATACCGTGGACCTGGGAAAGAAAAAGGAGGGTATTGGAAAGAGGAAGGGTATTCATAGCCACTAGATGCATCAGCATTGCCGTTAAACAACCTATTAGTTCATCCTTGTGGGTATATATGTGGCCTGTGATGGGAAAAAAAATGTCCATCCTTGCTGTAATGCAGGGCTCTCCAAACTTGGCAACTTTAAGACTTGTGGATTTCAACTCCCAGAATTCCCAACCAGCATAACTAACTGAGGAATTCTGGGAGTTGAAGTCCACAAGTCTTAAAGTTGCTAACTTTGGAAACTCTTGTGTAATGGATAGAAAATAGAATTACAGAAAAAAGGTGGATTTCTACCTGAGTTCTGTACCCCTTCATTAGCTTTGCTAGTTGCAAGCCTATACGTCAGTGATGGCAAACCTTTTAGAGACTGAGTGCCCAAAAACTTCCCCACCCCCGCAGCGCCCCACCCCTGCCCCACCTCCACCCATCCGCAGGGTCACGCACCATCTCCACAGCCCGCCGCAGATCGCCCAGGTGGCCCAGCAGCATCATGGTGGCCATGCCCTCCACCTGTGCCCCGCAGCATCAACTTTTTGCGATGGGGCGCAAGGGCACAGTCTTGTCCCTGCTGCCTGGCTGCCATGTCCTTGGTTGTGCTGCTCCAGGCGGGCCATGCCTGGGGGTGACTCTCCTCCGGGTGGGGCTGCTGGTGGGGAGGGGGCCGCGGTGGGAGGCGGGGCTGGGGCAATGGCACATGTGCCCACAGAGAGGGCTCCAAGTGCCGCCTCTGGCATGCATGCCATAGGTTCGCCACCACTGCTATACAGTATGTATTCACTGAAGGTAAGCCCCAGTGATCACAATGGGATTTGTTTTTTTAGTTAATATGCAAAGGATTTCCTCATTGATGACTTTTTTTTCCTAGAAGAGAAGAAAAATCCTATTGTCTTTTTTTCCCTTTTGAATTCTAGTTTGATTAAAATACAAGCTTTATGGCAGAAGAACCTAGCCTGTCTCTCTGGTACATATATAACAAGATCTTGATTATGTAGATCATCACATTTTTGCTGGAGACAATAGAGCAATCTGTGCTTATCTTAATCTCCATGTCCTCAGAGAAGATTAAGATTATGATGAAAATATTTTAGTTTATGGTGAGAAGCTGTATAAGTCTCATATCCTCTTTCCCTAACACACACTGCCTGCATATTTTGTTTTCTTCATGGCAGATCTCAAGAAGTGGAAGAATAATATCAGACAAGGAATACCGGTTAAATGCCATGAAGAAGGATCATCAGAAGTATATACGGGAATGCTTGGCTCAGGCTATTTTCCACAAAGCTCTTGATATGGAAGTATGGTTATATTATGGCTACTCTTCATAAAAGCCATAGTCATATTCAGGATTTCTGACAATATCTATAGGTGGAAATGTCATTAAATATGCTTCGACTGGTGGAAGATCTATACCACTGATTAGTAACCATCAGTGTATTATAATTACCCATTTTCACATGTTTGACAGTTATTGTGGGTTAGTAATGATGCTGAATTGCAAGAAAACTCTAACATACATTAGAACAGAAGAATTGTCCTATTTGTAAGTGGTGAAACTGGCAAGGCAGAAACCATCAATTCCTAAGCTAGAGAGAACCATTATGAAAATATATCCCAGGGGCCAAGCTATCAACAGACTAGCCTAGTTTAGAAAGATGGTGGTGGTGATGAAGTTGGGCTTTTAAACATTGGGTCATAGATATTTCAAGCTTTGAATCCCTTGTTCTGCTCTGGGCAATCAGTTGTTTGGGTAGAGGCTTCATTCTTATCTGCAATCAAGTTTCTAATCGAGTAAGACTTCTGCAAGATAAATCAACTCCTCAGTAAAGGATTGAGCATCTGGAAAATTATGATCAATTGGTGCAAATTCTGACGTTAACTCCCAGAACATTTATAAGGCTTAATTTTTGTTTCAAAAGAAATCTGTATTGATTTGCTAACCTAAGGAACATCTGTAGTTCTAACATGTGTTAGTAACTATGATTATGGAAAATTAGTAATTTCATTTATTCTAGATTTATTAATGTATCAATTCTAAGAGAATGCCTTAGATGAGAGATAAATTAGTTGTCAAAAGAAGCAAAGAGACTTGTAATTGGCCAGATTACTGGCCAGACCTCAGAATGTAAGTAGCCCTTGGTCACTAGATTCCACACAGTCATCTCCTGTGGGAAAGACAGCAGGAGGTCATGTCCCATCTGTGTACTCAAGAACTGGTCACAGTCCATCAGAAAAATGCTTACTTCTACCCATGTGAACACCAAAGGTCATGGGAAATTGGCAAGAACAAACAAAAGCATAGATATAAAGAGTGAGGAAGGACAGCAAGGAGCAGACGCTATTTCATTCACACAAAAAGTGGAAACGTGGCTGGAGGTAGGCCTCATCCTAGCTTGGTTCCAGCTATCAGTTGTTTCTACCTTCTGACTTCCTTTGTGATGTTACTGTTTCCCATGGTTTCACCTATAACTCAGATATACGGTCCAGGGGTAGCCCCCTAAAGAACTTTAGGACTCTGAGCCTTGCTAAGAAGTCAGCATTCATTTTATACAGGTTCTTGGCAAAGTTGAGAATCCTATGTGCTACTTGCCTGACAAACAGAAAACAGCAGTTGAGACCAACTGTCTTAGAATCTTAGAATTCTAAGGAGGTACCACCTAAGTCTGATGTGCATATACATACATACTTGCACAAACATGGAGATTATTAAGTAGTGACTATCACTTCCCCCCCCTCCCGGCTGATCAAACATCTGGTAACATCAGAAACACCCTGCACAGCCAAAATCTTTGAAGAAAACTTATGGATCATCTAAGCCAGTAGCTCTCAACAGTTTGCCAATGGAATTCCCAAAGAGAGTTTTGTTGTGGACTTCCATTACCCTTCCTCCTATACATAAACACACCGAAATCTGCATTGGAAGACAAAAGATGGCAGCGGAAACCTATGACTTGGTTTGGAGTATAATAGAAATTTTATATTCCCTTCTCCCCATTTCCTTTCCTGTGATAACAAGAAAATTGAATAGATAAGGATAGTGAGGAAAGATTTGGGGGTAAAAAGAAAAATCTAAACAGGGCCTGTGAAAAGGAAATGAAGGGGCAATGGCCCTTTGGGAAGGAGATAAGAGATCTCATGTGGCTTTTAATGAGGATTTTTCTTTCTGAATTTTCTGCTGGAATGAAAAATAGTGGCTCATCTTAGTCTGGGTCCTTCAGATATAATAGATTACATCTCCATTACAGCCCAGCCAGTATAGAAGTTTAATCCATAACATCTGGAGGGCACCAAGTTGGGGATATTTGTTAAATAAACACTAGTATATATGTTGAATGTAAATTAAGCTTGTTCCAACATGAGAAGTGGTAGCGGAAATGTATGGCTACCACATAAAGATTTTGATAATCTCATATATCAGAGAATTTTACTTTATGAACTACGTTGGGCATACACAGTACCTTTTTGTTGTTTTTCCATGACAGTCATTTATTTATTTTAAAAATCCTTAACAAATGTCCCGCTGATGAATTTTCTTTTCTGTGGTTGAAAAAAACTGATGTTACTAGGCTGCATCAGGGCCACCAGCTCGCGTTCTCTTCATCCTTTGTTCAAAAATACACACCTATATTTGGGCCCATCCATACACCATACACAATATATGGCAACCCTTGCCTATTCCTTCTTACAGACAGATCTTTCTTCTTTCATGAGGCAGACACTTCTATGGGATTTTCTTGTTGTGCCTGGGGCATTTCATGTGATTACAGTACATAAGCTAAAAATAATTCATAAAGGGAAGACCTTTTCAAACCTAATTACTTTGTAGGTATAAAGCAAAGAGGAAAGATTCCATGTTTAGGAAAGTCCATGTGCCAATATATCCATATTGCCAGCTTGTGATTTCACATTCAAGATTTAGATTTGATGGACGTGGCTTCACAACACAATAAGCTTACAAATATAGTTGAACAGGTCTACTTAAGATTATTGCATTTTTCTCCTGAACAGTACAGCTTGTTTGGGTCTTATTGTATATTCTGTAAGTGTTCATGGGAGCATGTAAAAGGAGAGAAGCCATGTTTTATTTTCAGTTTGTTATTCTTCAAAGTACCATGCAGGGAACAAAGCAAACCCTAAATTAGCTAGAAATGAGAGAAGGAGCCAGCAGTGACAAGTGTCCTATCCTAGGTAGCAAAGAGTCCTGGAACAAAATCTAGCTCTAATACTTAGATCCCTTGATAGACAAGAGACTAAGCAAAGTCTTATTCAGTATTAAGGTAAAATATTTCAGAAATATAGTAAAGTTAAGACATTTCAAAAGCACTGTGTCAGAATTCTGACAATTGCAAAAATCTGAGATAACTCCCTAGATGGCATCAAAATGTTATGAGGATCTGTGCCTTTGCTGCCATCTAGTGGTTGTATGGATTTTTGCAATCTAGAATGGTAGACAGTAATTCTTTCAGGACATCAGAGCTAGAAATTGAATCTTCAAGACTGATCTCCCTGAATTTTTATCCTTGCCTTGCCTCTGCTTCTCTTTGAAGACACTATTCTGTGAGGCCACAATAGGGCAAAAGTGCATATTACAATAACCCACCCTTAGCAGTTCATTTGAATGCAGCTAGGTTTTTAATACTCCTATTATGAATGCTCCAACACTGGAAGTTTTTAAGAAGAGACTGGACAGCCATTTGTTTGAAATGGTATAGGGTTTCCTGCCTGAGCAGGGGGTTGGAATAGATGGCCTCCAAGGTCCCTTCCAGCTATTATTATTATTATTATTATTATTATTATTATTATTATTATTATTATTATTATTATTATTATTATTATTATTATTATTATTATTATTATTATTTTAGGAGATACCAACATGTTTGTTAAAGGATTCAGTCCTAGGAGCAGTTGGCCATATATTAAAATAATGATTTTCAAATTGCTGGGTACTTTTTTCCCAAAGATTTTTGAGGATCTCAGTCTTCAGTTATAACATTCACAGAAGTGTTACTAGATCCAAATCTCCAAGGGATTTACACATGCGAGCTTATTGCCTATTACCTAAAAAAACTGCGAAAATGGTTGTCTCTCAGGATTAAGTTAGACATGGCACTCCATACCCAACACCTGCTGTCTACATTTAAAAGACATTTTCACAAGAGCTCATTAGGTATAGAGTGTCTTGTTATTCTTCCTTACAAAGGAAACCAGGCATGCTCCATTTTTAACAGCAGCTTTAAGAAACATCGGGAAAATGCTTTTACCTGTCCAGATAAATTTTCAATACTTAAACAGCCCTCTCCACTTACTGCGGTATGGGTGATAGCTTTGTTCACCATATTCATCATAGAAAACTACTTCATTATTGAGTGGTAAAACTGCAGTGCTTAATTACGTGACGTGACCACTATGCATTGCGGCGGTGAAATGTTTGGTCTGCTTGGGAATTGCCGCTTCTTTTCCCTTCCCTTCCATCCCTAATTATTGTGATGCATTGCAGAAAATGGGACAAAATGTTATCAAAATAGGCACCCTATTTTGCCTCTGCATGCGCGCTGAGAATTATAATATTCCATAGATAGCTAAAGCATTATATAATTTTCCCATCCCATCTCTTCTGTTGTGTTCTCAAGTACTACTTGTGTTCTTAAAAGGGATATAAATCATCATTATCAACTAGGCTGGGAGTGTTGCTTGCTGGGAGATGTGGTTTGAAAAGACAGAAGGAAGGAAAAGAAAGGGAACAGGTTGCTTGGATGTAGGAGGATTCGAAGCCTATGCAGCACTTATTGGGCATGTTTTACTAATAGCTATTTGAATAAAACTCATGTCTTTAATCACTTGACATTCACTCACTTGCTCTTTGATATGAGCCTTGCTTACACAATAAATTTGACCAACCATTTGGATGGGAGACTTTGTTTTCTATTTATATTTTAAGAAGTCATGCTCTTCACTCCCCCAAAAGGCCAGCAGAGCAATGTATAAAAACCAGAAAGAATCTCAATCCTACTATCCAAAAGAGATTATGAAGAGGAAAGAAAAAAAAAACATAACTTAAAGATTGGGAGGAAAGAGAAAAGGTGTAACAACCCAGAGTAGTGTTATGAGCTCTAGGAATGATGTAACCATATGGTAAATCTGAAATGTGATTTTGTCTTTACTTTTTATTTTTTTAAAATGGACCTATTAGCGACATCACCAGGGTGACATAAAAAGAAAACTTGAGAGTTCGGCAAGGCGGGAGCGGATCCAGCGAACCAAGGTAATGATTTCTCTCTTTTTGAAAAGAATCCCTGATTTCTTCCAGCACTAGAGTTGATTGCCATTGATAAGACTTAGAGATACATGTTTGTTTAAGGTGATCAGTTCTGGATTGCAAAAGTCTCAATAATTGCTAGACAAGACGGCATCAAAAGAGAGTTTACTGAATTCCCTGGCTGCCCTGGTTTTTTGCAGCATAAATCTAGTGGCCCTAGATTTTGTCTTGATTTTATGAGCTATTCCCTTTTCCTATGTCTAGCAATTAGAATGTTTTTTATTCTATTCATGATGGGTATTTGGTTACATTCTGCTACTGTTTCCTAATAATTTTCTCACAGGGAGGCATAATTACTTTTATATAAATAGAAAAGCCAATTTGAGAGCCTGTTTGATACAGTGGTTGAAGACCAGGCAAGGAAACAGGAGATAGTGAATTTTAGGCATCCCTCTGACATGAGGTCAGCTGGGTGACTTTGGGTTGGTCATACTTTCTTGGCCCTAGGAAGAGGGCAATGGCAGACCACAAATATATCCAAGGAAACTGCACAGACTGCAGTCCCCAGGTGTTATAACTGACTCAAAGGAAGCAAAAAACAAAACAAAAGCAAATTTACTAATATTTGAAGGTTCAGGTGTGAGCCTTGATTTTCTCCAGGGATTTGAAGATATTGGCTGAATTCCTGGGTAGAAGCCTTATTTACAAAGAGCTTTGCCAAAGAGCATTATTTTCTAACAATATTGTTTACTCAGGTATCTCAAGCTATGTTCAGGCATTACTGTTCATGTTCAAACTGATGCTGGATGAGGAGCAAGCAGGCCCTTCCCTTCCTTAGCCATATGCTTACAGTACAGCTCTCTGCAACAGCCACATTAACTTTACCGAGAATTGCCTTTACATGAGTCTACAGGAGTCTGACTGTCTCACATGGGATCGCTTATATATAGAATTAAGTCCTTGCTAGAAACCACAGGCTGTAAAAATGGAAACCATCTCTGCACATATGTCACCAGCATGACATTGTAATGGAATGTATGGATGACCTTGGGGAATGAGGGGAAGAGATGCTGCCTAGGAAACTATCCGATGGGAGGCAGGAGCCGTCAGTGGCTTAATGGTTGGAGAAAGAAAATTAGGGAGGACTCACCCTAATGGATCAAGTAGTTAAAAGTGGTGGTGGTAAATTTGTACTTTCAGACTTGCAAGATTCTTTTAAGATAGTGAACTAATTAAGCATAATTAGTTCACCTAGGCATATTTCTGGTTGGATTCACCTGGGATGCGACTTTCTGTACCTCTTCCTCCGACGGGTGGCAATGAGTATTCCATTGCATGAACATATACACTACAGTTCAGACAGTAAAGAGGAAGTAAATCCACCTGGCTTGCTCTTTCCGTCGTCTACCAAGGGTAGTAAACGAAAGGGGTGTAGGTGGGTGACATGGTTCTTTAGCGAAACCCGCCGCGTTTAACCCACTCTCAGGACCATCAAGTCACACGGTGAGTCTTTAGTGAGTCTCTGTAGGATAAACAATAGTCCTGTTTCAATTTTTTAATATAGTTTCCTGGAGCTGGAGCCCTGGTTTAATGGAATCAAAGTGACATCATGCAAATTTGCAGCACTGGGAACTATCTTAAAATGTTTATTCCCTTTTAATCCAAAGGATGTAAAGGTGCCATACATGGCTGTGGTTATAAATGACATTTGCAGATCTCCACCAAATTTATAGATGGAGAGATGGGATTTTAGTGAAGTATGGCCAGTCAGGAAGGCTGTGGTTCCTTTGAAAAAATATTTGAACAGTGGAGGTAAGATATTCACAAATAGTCCTTAACTAACTGGAAACTAAACAAGTCTGCCATCCATTTTATCCATGAGAATTTTTCTGAATCTCTCTTCCAGTTTGAAATGGTTTTGTAAAACAAATTGTCTTTCATTAGACTGAATTGGTAAAAAAAAAAGTGTGGAGATTTCGTGGCACCATTGGGCCATATATACTTATTTTATCCTTGTAAGAACTTAGCAAGCTATGGCTTGTTTAAAGACTGAAGTGTTTATAATCATTTTATGTGTTTCGATGCACGAATATGGAGATTTGGCTACTCAAAGTCAATGTTACAGGTTTTACTTCTTTATTTATGTAATTTGTTTAGGCTACCCAATTCTAGAATGGCATTGGTTGGCTTAAAATATGCATGAGGTATTCTTTTTTATATAAAAAAATCACATTTAAAACATGACCGCCTAGACCAAAAGAAGCAGTTCCAACATTTAGAAAAAAGTTTTTATATCATGCTAGTTCGCTTACAGTTCATGTAACTTTTTCATGTCTCCAAGTGTATATGCCCAATTGATCTTTTAGGGCAGGGGTCTTCAAACTTGACTCTTTTATGAATTGTGGACTTTAACTCCCAGAATTCCTCAGCCAGCATGCCTGGCTGAGGAATTCTGGGAGTTGAAGTCCACAAGTCATAAAAGGGCCAAGTTTGAAGACCCGTTTTAGGATATAAAGAAACTCTGTTGTGGAATGCCAATACACAAATCCCTGCTTAATTTCATGAGCACTCTCTTATGCTAATGTTATCTTCTACTTAATGTGACCATTTTAAATATATATCTGTTAGAATATAGCTATTTTTGAATACAGGTAGTCCTTGACTTACAACCATAATGGCCATTATGGTCACAAGTGGTGACAGTTGTTAAGTGAGATGGCCTCGCTTCGTGACCCCTACCCTCCATCCACAAACTCTACAAACAAATGGAGACTTCTTAAAAAAAACAAGAGTCCCCTACAGGCACATGAGAATAACATTTGCTTGTAGTATAGCATGAGGTTGCCACAAGGCAGGCAATCTCTATAGGAATGCTGAGTCTTGCATTGGCCGAGCAGGTTTCTGCAAGAGACAGAAAGGTAAACTGGGTGCTAATGGGTCCTGGAGCTGGCTGAGGAACAGGCCAAGTCCTGCAAGTGCTTGGGTGGCCAAATGGGAAGAAGGCCTCAGTCTACAAACTCTCATAACCCCACCTGCACTGGTAATGTCTGCCTCCTGGCTTTAGGCTCCCTTGGGTGGCTGATTACGAAGCAGGCCTTAGCTTATAAGTTCTCACAACATCACATGCACCAGTAGCATTCATTGCAAAGCTTTAGGCACCCTTGGGAGAGGCTGAATGGGAAGCAGGCCTTGGCCTACAAGCTCTCAGAGCCCCATGTGCACCAGCAGTGTTGGCTGCCTGGCTTTAGGCTCTCTTGGGTGTCTGAATGGCTGGGTGCAAAGCAGGCTGACGCCTGTGAGGACCCAGCAGGATGGGTGGGGGAGACAAATGGGTGGAGGGGAAACTGCAGCATCCCTGCAGTTTGTTGTAAGAGTGAACAACTGCAGAAACTCTGCAGTGGCCATAACTTTCAAACTAGGTCATAACTTTCAAACAGGGTCATACGTAGCTGTCGGGGATATCTGTCATAACTTTGAATAGTCATTAAGCCACTGATCATAAGGATTTACCTGTATCTATTTGAATGAAATATGTATTGGCTTATTTTACTTAATTCAGTTTTTGCACAATTTAGTTTAAGGGATATAAACTGATATAGTTGTAAAATCTTTATCTATCCATCTATCTATTTTGAAACAAAAAGTCCAAATGTAGACAGATTACAATTTTGTTTTCAGAAATGTGCATAAGCTACATGTTCTTAAGTTAGGGATGGGCAGTGTGGTGTCCTCTCAGTGTTTTTGATTACAAATCCAGTGGTGATATTTGGAGTTGTAACTAAAAACTTACAGAGCACCAGTTTACTCAACCTAACTTAAGTATTTACCTCTGTGTCTTTTAATGGTTCAGATTACTTATCCTCGACCAAGCACTGCTCCAGGAAACATACAACAGCCACTCCGGCTTCAGCCCCTCTACGGAAATGTTGTGACTGAAGGTTCATCAAAGACTGGTTTGAGCTCCAGACCAAAGTTTCTCACTGTTGACAAAGAATATCATTTTGCTAGCGAGGTTAGCGTTTACTTCTTTACACATGCACTACAATAGGAAGAATGAGGATATACCGTCATTTTGTTCAATTATACACAAGGAATCATCTAGTACATTTAAAAAAAAAATAGAATGTGAAGTAATGCAGAATGATGCAGAATGTTGATAACAATTTTCCCGTTAATAAAGAATGTTAACCAACGTTTACCCCCTACCCAGCAGAAGGACTATTCCTCTGGGTCACCCCGTTAAGGTGCGACCTCCATCGACGACCTAACTACCGTCCGAGGTGGAGGGGGGAACCAGAGACGAGAGGTGGATAGGTAGAAAACAATAGTATGACTACAAGAGCAAAAGTAAAAGTAACAAATGTTTGTTCTATTATTTTAGTTCCATTTTCTTTACACTTTTTTCATTTCTTCCTTTTTATTGCTGTAAGCAATGGTTAGAATGCAGTATTGCAGGCTACTTCTGCTGACTGCTGGCTGCCAGCAGTTCGGCAGTTGAAGTCTCACTGGCTCAAGGTTGACTTAGCCTTCCATCCTTCCGAGGTCAGTAAAATGAGGAACCAGATTGTTGGGGGCCATAGGCTGACTCTGTAAATCGCTCAGAGAGGACTGCAAAGCACTGGGGAGGGGGTATATAAGTCTAAATGCTATTGCTAGCTGCTAGTGCTATGGTGAGATAGCACTAGCTATCAGCAAATAAATTTAACAGAAAACAAACAAACAAATAAATAAATACATAAATGAAGCAGCTGCTGAAAATAGAGGAAGGGGGGGAAAGGTGCAAAGGATTTCACTGCTGAAGGGCATGGATGCCTCTGAAGATTAGATGTTGCTTGGAAACTGCCTGAATATTTACTGTTTCTGTAATGGAACTTGTTCCTCTTTCCTTTCTTTCACTATTTGTTTTTTTTTTAAAGATTTATTTATTTTGCCTTTATTATTTTTACAAATATTTCAAAGCAGTGAACATACAGTAACTAATACGCCTTCCTGCTCCTATTTTCCCCACAATAACAGTCCTGTAAGGTGGGTTGTGTTGAGAGAGAGGGATTCACCCAAGGTGACCCATAGAGCTTATGGCATGTATATAGAGACAAATATAATGGAGAAGGGGGGAAAGGGAAAAACACCTCTTTCAAAAAAGCACCTTTGAGGCACACATCTTTGAAACTTTACACAGGTTTAATTCCCAGTCCTACTGTTCTTCTGAATTAAGTTGGCGTCAGCTTGTAGCTTCTGAAAGCTTGTGAGATAAAAATACTTCCTAAAATATTGTTTTATGCAGCAGTGTTATGGTTATAGATAGATAACCTTTATTGTCAATTTTTACTGTGGGCACAATGGCACGCATTAAAAATGAAATTTCGTTGCTTGCTCTCAAAGTGTACACATACACAACACATACAGTATTTAAACATACTATATACAACATATGTATAGACCTACACCCTTACATATAAGTAACATAAATATTAATCGCTGTCCATCTTTAATACATAACGGAAGGAGGAAGCTTTAGAGTTCACAAGGTTAATACAGTATGGAACAAAACTGTGACTGAATCTGGATGTTCTGCTTCGAATACCACAGAGCCTCCTCCCACGAAGGAAACAAAGAAAACAGGTTGTGAAGAGGATGTGTAGTGTTCCAGACAATCTTGCGGCCCCTGTTCAAGCAACGCTTATATGCTATGTCCTGGATGGAAGGGAGGGAGCTGCCAATAATCTCAATGATACCTAATTTACTTCACACCATGTTAAGCTTAGGGCAAGGAAAACTGTTGAACTGTGAGCAAAGCAGAGTGATTGAAATCAAATGTATAGTTCTGTTGTCTTAATCATATTAACTGAACCTGGGAGACAGTCAAGAGGACATAGTGACAGGAGATAAAACAGCCACAAAATGGAGCAATCTAGGCCGTAGGAGCTCTGGTGGGACACTAGTGGTAAAAATGACATCTAAACAGCATGACTAGGCCCACCTGTACATATTGGCTCCAGCCTAGAGTTGATCTCTGCCTTTATTAATAACATGTAATAATGTTTTATTAATAATTAAGCTATTAAGACTATTAAATCATTCATACACATACACACTGCAAAGTGACAGGTGCTCAGCTAATGCAAAATGGGGTATTTGGTTAGAGAGAGGAGAACCCACTCTATAATAGCAATAACTTTATCCATACATTGTATTGGACTCAGCTTGTAAATACATGCTCAGTATGGGAAGATAGTCTTCAAATTCAGCTTAAACATACCTCATATCATTTCTGGCTTTAGAAATCATATATATAATATAATATAATATATCTCTACATGCAAGTAGTAATTCGGTTTAGATCCTCAACCAGCAATTTACGAGAAGTCAGAAAAAATGGTCTTTATAGTGGCTGTAAATCTCATCCACACTGCAGGAATGTAAAAGCTGAGGAAAAACAAACAATTTTATTTCAGAAGTGGAAATTCTGTGCCGATAAACCCAAGGTGCAGGAATAAGAGCTGAGTGGAGTCTTGTACTTTCAGAAGTCAGTCAGGGAATCAGAAGCAGCATACTTCCAGGAAGTCAAATCCAAAGTTAAAAAGTGGTTTGCCAGAAGAAATTTGACTCCCAAGCCTGTGTTGCTGTAGCCCCGATTCAAGCATGCTATTATACTTTTTGTAGAAGAAGAGTTATGGATCTTTTTCAGCTCAGGCTTTAGGTCAGGTGAGAGCTTACCTGACTGCTTCAAAACTGTAGGCTCTTCCTCCAACAGGTCCTGCTCTTTTTGAGCAGATACCTGAGATCCCTCTGACTCCTGAGTTGTAAGCTCAGAATGTGTCAAACCTACTCCTCTAGTTCAGAATCTGACTCATAGATTGGATCGTAACGATTGATCCTGTTGTACTTATGAGCTGCCTTTTTAACACTTGCCAAGAACCTTAATGGTTTATTACAAAATGTGGTCAAGCAATAGTCTATTTTATACATGGAGCCAGGAATGAGAAATCTCTTTCAGCTGAGAATCCCTGCTGAAACCAATGAATTTTAGATTATTTTTTTTAAAAAATGAAGAAATACTAAAGAATTACTAAATGGAAAATTCTAGCTAAGCACCTTTCAACTGCTCTGTGAGTCTAAGTGTTAATGAATATTAATATTGTTCAATTTTTTCAGGGGGACAAAGGGATATTAAGGCCTGTGCATTCAATGGATTATTCAGTTGAAGTATCCCCATACAGACTTCCCATTATTAACAATTATATGATACCTATTCCACAACCACCCAGAAGTGACAAAACTATAATCCCCATGAAACCTGGGGGAAGAGGTCGACGGTTTCGCCCTACAACTTCATCAAATGGCCTGGAGCAGTTGCTAATGAAGGTGATTCTTCTTCTTCTTCCCATTATTGCATTTTTTTTCTTGTATAAGTAATTTTGTAATGGCCTCTACTAAGCATATAAAGATGTGCTGAATTACTCCTTGATGGGCTTTTTTTTTTGCTAAAGAAATACCGCTCTCCATCTTTTTAAATGCACACAGGGATACATCTTTTAAAATAAAGAAAATTTGCATTTTCATTTCCTGTAAAAACTTGGTTTTGTTTCTAATATCAGTCTTTTGAATAGATAAATGTAATACTTTCAACCATTCTTTTGAATCTATTCTACTGCTTTTTCATCCAAGCTTTCCTTAAAGTATTTTTCAAAATATAAAGTACATTTTCCCAACCTACAGCAGTGCAAAAATGTTAGCTGTGAATTCTAGGAATAGCCATCAGAAAGCTTTTGCTGTATCTGGGGGAAGGCACCAGGATAAGAAAAGTGGATATAGAGTGATACTGTATAGCAAATAACTTGGAAAAGAAAGATAAGCCCTTTTGCAAAAGATTGACTATTCCTGGTAGCTAGAGAAGCTGCATTTAAATATACAAATAACACTTTTAGAAAAAATGTTATATGTGATGTCCATAATATTAAAGAACTCATATTTGCTCATTGGTCTCAATGAGCAAACATTATGTTATGTAAATCTGAAATTAAGGATGATGACTTTAAATAAAGTCATCATAAAATACAAATAACCAAGTAACTGAAATCCCATGAATTTCAGTTAAGCACTGTATTATGCCCTTTGGGCCTATAGACCTTACAGATTGCTGATCTGGACTCTGGAACTGGCCTAGATGTTCCTTTCCCCCTTTTTCATTTCTTTTAGACTTTTTCAGCAGGTTTTTAGATTTACCCGAGGCTCCAATGTGGGAGCTATCCACAGTGAGATTCTGAATTACTATATTAATTTAAATGAATGTGTCTAATCCTATTTTAAAACGATTAGTATGGGTGCTGTTACCATATCATCTAGCTTCAAATGTGGTTATTTACTTTTATGAGAATGACTTTGGTTCCACTATCCTGACTATTCACCCTTCAGAATCATAGGATTACTTTTAATTTCAGTATTCTCTACATCCTCAGAGCATACCTAATTTTACAAATTCCTATTACATTTCCTCTTAACTTCCTTCTCACAAAAAAGTTCCAATTTTTCCAGTACTTTTTTTCATACAGATACATTTTTTTGTACCTTTTTTTAGTTCTACAATATTCTTTTGGAGTTGCAGTAACCAGTATTATATTTGAAAGTGGTTTCATAGACGTTTTGTGGAAAGGTATTATGATAGTAAAGCTATTGTGAAATTAGGTTTTAGGTTCCCCTTATTTATCCAGAATTTATCTTTTTCTCCCTTTGTGCTATACCAGCACAAAGGTGAGAGCCATTATTCATGTTAGGTTAACTCTAACCCTAGTTTAATCTCTGGCATCTCCAGTTAACTTCAAGCAATTATCTGAAATTCTGAAGAAACCATGTCAATCATTCAGTAATGCTAGACCAGGTTGTCTAGAGGCACTCAAAAGCAGCTTTGTATATCCTTAAAGCAGCTCTTCTTTATGCAACAAACTTTTATACAGCCAGATTGAGCTCAGATTTTAGTTCAGTGTGTTTCTTTTGTAGGCCCTTTTTTGTGATATGTGCAAGAAGTACTTGGGATGGTATAAATCCCTTTGAATTTTAGCACTTGTTCATGGGTGAGTACTGAAGTGATTTCAAAATAGAATGAGATAACATGGGAACAAATGTCTAACAATCCACATATTTCAGTACACTTTTCTGCCTTTTTATGCAGGACACTGGAAAATTCTGCAAGCCTCAAATACAAAGCAATGCATATGTTACCATGGTCTATTTGGGAAAAACTGTGCACCTTTCATATGACCTTTTAGATTATCGAGAGGAAATAAAAATTTACCAACAGCATTGTGGAGGAGAAAACCTATGTGTGTATAGAGGCAAACTGCTGGAGGGAGGTGAGACTGCAAAAAACACCAAGAATTCATCTGAATTCTGGCAACCTCTTATTTTTATATGGATAAACTGTTGAAGTGGTAGCAGAATTATTTCTGCAAAGCTTAGTCTGCTTATGTATGTCCAGGGACTTATATTCCAGCTGCCTCAAACCAAGTCTAGATTTACTGTTTCATGATTGAAAATGAGGCTGCAATTACTTTTGCAAATTGTGGAAGGAGGGATGTACAGGGGTGATTTAACAAAATGCAGTGGGCTATATTAATTTTTGGATGGAGATGCATGGTTAATAAAATACTTGCAGGGGTAAAATGAATACCAAATTATCTACGTACAAGAAGCTATAATATATCAGTGTGAACTGTTTATCGCTCCAGAAGGGAAATGAATGCAGGCTTGAGGTTTGATTCTGAATGTGAATCAATGGTGTTGATGTTGACTTAAGCAAAGCTGTTCCAGGTATAATTGCCAGCAGAAATGAGGGAAGAATAGCATACTGGGTAGAATTAATCTCATGCCATGGTCCTGGGCTATTGCTGAGGAATGATAACCTTTATATCGTTAGTTATCATTTATTTAATTTGTCATAGTGCTAGGCACTAGGTGGAAATAATGTAGTCTGTGCCCAAAGGCCTTAAATCTGTATTAGACTGACTGGTTAACAACAACAGGGGAAGAGGTCAAGGAGTGATGAAATAAAAAATCAGTTGCTAATGAAGAAACTGTTAAATAAAGCTGGAATGGTATTTGAGAAAGGAGGTTACAGAAAAAAATGAAGGGGAACAGCAAAAAACAAAACAAAACATTCCCTAGTGAAAGAAAGGATTGATCCATAAATATGCAAGTAAAGAGCAGAAGGAACTGACATTGATACTGAATGAAACAGCAGATACTTAAGTTTCTAGAAAAGAGAAAAAGAAGCATTGCAAACTTGCAATAAGTGATGTTCAAGAGTAACTTTATTTTTTTTAAAAACATTATTAATAAGGTTTAAGGAGAATGCAGAGGTTTCGGACTGCAGTGGTCCAGGGCAACAGTTTGGAAAGTAGACAGAAGCAAGGGTCAAACCAGAAAAGATACCTTTATGCAATTAGTTTTACCCCTTAGTTCTGTATATTTAGCAGTGGCATTTTTTAAAAACACTAAATAGGAAATTTAATCCTAAAGTGGGATATAAACTAGATTATTCTTTACTGGAATCCCAGTGAATATTTGTTTTCCTACACACACACACACACACACACACACACACACACACACACACACACACACCCCTCTGCTATTTGCAATTGGAAAAATACCTCCTGTAGCTTGAAAGTATTTTTTTTTTCTGTAGTGTAACTAGCTGGTATATTGTTGCAATGAATCCATGTTGAGGTAAAAGCTTCTGCCCTTCTACATTGGAATCCTGATCTTCATTTAGTCAGCTCTAATCTAGACTATTCAAATCTGTGCTTTACTTAGAGCCAAACAAGGTGTGGTGGTACTATCAAGAAAAAAGCAGCTTTGCAGATAGTAGTGTCACATCTTGTTTGGCGTTAAGTAAAGCACAGATTAAAATAGTCTCTATGAGATCTGATAAAAGAACAATTAAGGTCTAAGTAAGCATGAGGTTTGGGTGGGAATGGATCTTGATAATGCAGAGAAAAAGAGTTGGATTTAAATGTGTGCTTAGAAGTAGTTTTATTGTTGTTAGTATTCATCAGATTAGTCTGTTTAGTCAGATAGTAAGGTAATGGTATGTGTATGTATGAATCTTGAAACTAACACTAGCTTATTGTTTTTATAGTTGTTTTGTATTTAGGAAAGCTCTCCACTTTAAGTTTATTCCCCTTTATTAAATTCTGTTCATTTAATGTATCCCACCTTTATTATTTTTACAAACAACCCAAGGCGGTTAACATATCCCATACACCTTTCTCCTCTTACTTTCCCACAACAACATATAAAATGTTTCTTCATCTTGAAAGCTTACCAAAGACAATTAGACCATGGATTTCTCCTAGAAGTACTACTTTCCTATGCATACATGATCCCTTTTATTTGGGACAGCTTTGAAACATGCCACCTCTAACTTATAGCTTGAAGTAGTACAGTCTTGGAAGAAACAAGGATATACTTGTATTGAACTGGTTCCTTGTCTATCTTAAATATGGTCAAAAGCTCCGGTTTTGTTTTTTGTTTTTTAAAAATAAAAATAAATAAATAAATAAATAAATAAATAAATAAATAAAATAAATAATAAAAAGGCTCCGTTATATATACTTTTTTTTTCTTTTTCTCAATTACAGAAACATTTCAGTTCATCTCCAGGAGGCATCATGGCTTCCCCTTCAGTCTCACCTTTTATCTCAATGGAATTCAGGTTGACCGATTAAGTTCTTGCTGCGAATATAAGCATCGGAAAGGTACTCGGCTAGGAGGCAAGCATGGATACTTTGGTTTCATCAATGTGGAAAGATCATCTCCTTGCTATAGGTATGCGTTTATATTTATCAATCTGTTTTGAGGCATTAATATTGTCTTTAATTTGCCACCAAATTTTTCTTTCAAGTGATATTGTCTGGATCACAGCTCTGGAGGAGAAATCATTTAAGTCTTATAAAGTAGAGAGTCCCTTTGCATCTGTAATATAAAAATAAATGATAGTTTATGAATAAATCTCTCTCTATATATATTTTTCCATGGGAATGAATAACTTTATAAATTTTACATGGCATGGGACAGCGACCTATTTATGTTGAGAAAAATGAAAAAAATGACCTCATAAAGCATGATTGGCATTGTGCTCCTCATCTTGTCCTCAGAGCTGGGTCTATGTGTTAGGCTCATTTGGTTCCCAAGAAACCCGTGTACAGGAAAACCTTTTCAAAGGGTCCAATGCATAGGATAACAACATTGGTACCATTTGGAATGCTGGTCAAATGGAGTCTTGTACATGTGTCACTCCTCATATCTAGGGGTCAATTTGCAGATAGCCACACAATGCATCAGAGTAAAGAGCAGCTTGAATAATATATGATATAGCAGAAGTCTCTCCTACCCAAAAAGTTTATTACATCAATTTTATGGCATCCACCCTTCTCCATAACTACAGTAAACTGATATCTAAAGTACTTGCATCATAATTTGAATTGTAGCACATCATGTAGTGAATATACATGATAAAATAGTCTAAATGCAGGGCTAGAATTAATAATTCTGGGAACACAAGAAGACTCAACCAACTCCTGTCCCTGATCTTGAGCTTTGGATTGAAATGGCTAAATATGATAAATAACCATCAATAACAACCATATCAAAAATCCATACTAAGCACTTGCTGGAGCACTCCTATGAAAGAAAATTGCCATGAATAATATTTATTCAAACACAAAGCCAGAGTAGAACCTGTATACTTGTAACTGTTCTATGGAATTTCTGCATGTATTTTGATTCCAAAACGTTATTAGCAACCATTTCCATTAATTTTTCAATTGCACAATTCTGTCAATTTATTCTACTCAGAAAATTTGGGAAAACTGTTTATTTAAGACCTTAAATTTATCTCAGATCTCTCTTGTGTAAGCTTCAAGACATGTTTTCCAGTGGTGTGGATAATTTTAGCTGCATTTATGAAGATTCCCACTTTGTTCTGTAAGCAAAAGTGTGAAGATGTGGACAATAAAGACCTCTACATGTTTGGTGGCAAATAACCAGTCAGAATGCCAATTATTTCAAAGAAACAGTGAAGTGTAGATTTCAGCTTAGTAAACTTAAGACATCTATTAATATAATGTAATGGCTTAGATTGGCTTAAAATAGTTTGTTCTCTTGTTCATAGTACATAGTCCTTTTGTAATATATTTTCAAATTCTATTTCCCTAGATCCTACACCCTAGGATGTTATAGGCCAGATGTGTCAAACTCGCGATGTCATGTGACATCGCACGACGTATCAGAACTTTTTCCACATTGCCGGCAATGGGGTGGGCATGGTTTCCTCATGACGCATCCAGCCCACAGGCCGGCAGTTTGATACCCCTGTTATAGGCTGATTTTGGGGGGTATTTTTGGCTCAATTCTATATCACAGAACAGTAGCTATATAGTTGTTGATTACTTTTCAATTCTATGCCCAAATTCCTTTCAGTAAGATACTTATTTACAATTTGTGAGCATTGCACTATTTAACCTACATCTGCAAAGTATGTTTCAAAAGTATAATACAGAGAAACATAAGATATAAATTCAGAAAGTTGGTTCATATATTATGTTGTTGTTTCAAAAGATGGGCTCTTCTGGGCATTCTCTGTTTGAAAAAAGTATTGATTTATGCTGATTGTGTAAATAAAAGAATAGGGCATTTATTTTTAGTCTAGGCCAGGAACCTTCTTTACGTCTTTTGCCAGAAATGAAAACATCAACCACCTCCATTTCTTCTGTAATATTTTCATTTCTTTGATGTGCAAAGCATTGATAGGCCAAAAAAGTGGTGCACATTTCCCCACTGGGAAAAATATTGTATAAACAGCAGTGAAAAAATAAGGAAAGGAAAGAAATAGAAATCCCCAGAGAGCCAAATGATTTTTCTGATAAGCATACTGCACCATCCAGAAACACTTCACTTCCTCTTCAGAGTCAGATTTGCATGATTAATGTAAATGTTATGCTATCACTAATGTGATAAGCGCTTTCTGAGGATTGGAAAGCATGCAAATTCAAGCCATGGTGATACTTTTTCACTACATTTCTAGTCTAGCCATATAGGTCTGTTTATATGCCAATTTATTTTGACAAAAAATCAGGCAAGAGAATAGTGAAATGCTTTGAATAATTACTCTGGGGAACAGACATAGCTTTGTTGTGCATTTTAATCATTTTCATTGACTTTGCTTTGCGTAAAAACACCTGTAATCTTCTCTATAAGCAAACTGTTTTTTATTCTGACTGCAGGCTATTTTGTTAATTGATTGATTTAGATCACGCCTTTCCAAACAGATGGCACTTAATTTGCTAGCTTATCTAACCATTGGGATAGTAGTAAGAACCCCAGTTATCATACAACTATATTGTAGCCCAGTGATTCTCAACTTGTGGTCCGCGGACCTCTATGGGTCCACGATGTCATCACGGGGTCCATGAAGGCTTGAAGATTTAAATCTTGAGTTAAGTCTTGGGTGTCTGTGGCCACAAAAGGTATTAAAAGGGTGTCCATGATGAAGAAAAGATTGAGAACCACTGTTGCCCATCGCAAGAGCAAAGCCACTGAAATATTAAATGCCAATTAAAACTTTGTTTATATAGACTATCTTTCACTTTATGGACAGTTGAATTTCTTTATATATTATTCAAATTTACATAGCCACCCATCTCATATATACGACTCCTGGAGGCTTAAAAACAATTACAATAAATATAAAAAGAACAATGCAACAATTAAAAAAAGAACAATCCAAAAACATATATAAACCATCATATCAAAATTCATAAAATGTATAGCCATGGTAATCACAATAACACCATTCAGTTCTATCCCTGGGCCAGCTTGCCACATTTTCTGCTGCCCATGCCTGATGGCCAAACTATGTTTTCAGGGTCCTTTGAAAGGCCAGCAGAGTTGGCCTAGGTCAGGGCCAACCTTGGCTCTTTTATGACTCGTAGACTTCAACTCCCAGAATTCCTGAGCCAAGATTGCCTACCCCTGGCCTAGGTGATCTCTGGGGGAGGGGGAGGAGTTATGGTGTTCTAAATTAAAGATAAGATAGTCTAGATAATACAGAATTAAAAGAATGTTGGATTATCACAGCCGGCTAGTTAGTCAAGAGACAAATCAAACAGCAATGGCCTCACCATTTTCCCACAGATATCTTCTCATAAGATTATTATGAGATTATAACAGGTGAGATGGGCAGTCAGACAAACAAATAATATATGAGGTGTTTTGAATGTGATTTCTAAAAGGTACCATACCTCCATGTGAGATTGTCCTTCCTTCCTATACTTTAATGATTTCTTGGGTTTTGTTTTATGTTTTGCTAACTGACACCCCAGTATTGCCCATCATCTTGGTTTTTAGTCCCTATTTAAATTCTCTTAATTTAAAATATTTATTCAATCTTTCTTGATCTTAATTGTTTTATATTATCTTTTTATCACTTTGTAAACTATCAAGAGTTGCTTCAACAGTGAGATGGACGACATATAAATTTAATAAATAAAAAAATAACCCATGAAATAACTTCTTATTTCTGCAATTTATAAGGAAATTACAACAGAGTTTAATCAAATAATGCTTCTATAAACTATGTTTATACAATCCAGTTGTATAGTTGAATCTGGAATATTTGCTTTCTACAAATCTTTGAATTCTTAATTTGGAATTTAATTGGGGAACCGTGGAAGAAATCTTATACCTATTTCATTTTACAGAAGTTTTTACTAAAAACATTTTTCTCAATGATTTTGTTCATTCATTTTGTGAATTTTGATCTTGAAGTGGTACTTTAATTTCCTCAAATCAGTACATTTGCTTTTTCCCTCAATTTTTTTACATATAATATTTTATTAAGCTTATCATGGGAAAATGGGGAAGGGGAAAATGAGGAGAAAGAAGTATAGAATAAAGGGGGGAAAGGAAGAAAAACATTAACTTCTGACTCTTCAGCCCAGTAGAATAAAAATAATATTACAGCCTCAACATTTTACTTTTACTTTTTATCTAATATATACTAGCCATTTCTATAACAACAAACTTGTCTAATCTTGCAAAATCCAAAGTCAAAGTCATTTTTTTCTGTCCCAAGCACAAAATCTAGAAGCAGTTTCCAAGCAGAAACAAAGTTGAATATATTCTTTTGTTTGATTAAAGCAATTAACTTCGTCATCTCTACTAATTCCAACAGTTTTTTCAGCCATTCTTCCATTATGGGAAATAGTGTCTCTTTCCCTTTTTTGCACATATAGCATTTTTGCTGTGTCAACCTCTATAATAACAAAGCTCCAGATTTTTTTTCCAAGTTCTTTATCCATTAAAACTTAAAGAAAAGTCTCTGGTTTGATTTTTATATTTATTTTGAGAATCTTCTGTATTAAAATATGAATCTTATCCCAGTATTTCTTTGCTTTGTCAATAAAAGTGATAAAAAGTTCCTTCTTTACGTTTAACATTTCCAATATATATTTGAAGCACCCTTATATATCTTTAACAATTTGTCAGGTTAAATACCATCAGTACATCATTTTATAAACATTTTCCTTTAAATTATAATTCAACATAAAATTTAAACCCTTCATCCACATGTTTTCCCATTGTTCTAGCATTACATTATATTCAAAATTCTTTGAATCATACAGTGCTTCACATATTTGTTTTCCAAATTCAGTTTCAATAACAATTTATAAACCTTGGCAATAACAAGTTCATCCTTACTGCCTAGTATAAATAATTTCAAATTCATTTTCACAGGGTCAGTCCCATAATTTTGTGTGTAATTTAAATATTTCTTTCAATTGAAAGTATGTAGACGAATGACACATCCTATTGACTTCAACACTTCCTTAGACTTAAGAATGGCTATCGCCCTAAAAATTGATTTTATAAAATCAATTGCCCCTATTTTCCTTACATTAAGCTTCATCCAACGTTCCTTTTTTAAAAGACTTTAAAAACTCTGCCATATTTTCTCTTAATGCATTATGAATCCATTCATCTGAAAATGGACTGACAAATGGAAAATTACCTCCCTCCCAAAAAAGGTCTCCCTCTCACAATACAGTTTTTCATTAGGGTCAATTAGCTGGTGAAATGATTTTCTCCAGCTGTTTTGGTAATACTTGTACAATTCCAGTATACATAAATCTTTTTGTTGTATATTGTTGTATACCCATTCTTGTTTTTTAAAAAAAAAGAAATGCAGGAGCTTTCTCTGCTTTTATTTTCTAGTAATCCCTAGAATAAGACACTTTTAGTGGTATGTTTTCATAATGTCATACTAAATTTTTATCAGATGTATCATTTCATTGGGCCTGGACAAAAAGCCTACACCTCCAAAAAAGAAGACCCTTGAAGAAAGCGCAAAGCTGGAAGATTGGAAGAAAGAAGAAGTGACACACAAGTTGAAAGAGGAAAAAAAAGTATTACCGCCCCACTTTCCTTCAGCTTCTGCGGTAAAGAAACGGGCTGCAGAACGCGCTGAAGAAAAGCAATTGGAGACCAAAAAAAGAGAAAAAGAGAGAGATGAATTTGAGGATACCAAGAAAACTGCTGCTTATGAAGGTATGGTTTGAAAAGAGAAAGCAAGTTGGTCAGTGAGGGGGTCCTTGGTGCTTTCTGAGCTTGGTTGTTTTCTTGCAGATGTTTCGTTACCCAAACTAGGTAACAAATTTGGGTAATGAAATGTCTGCAAGAAAACAACCAAGCTCAAAGAACACCAAGGACTCCTCATTTCAACCCTGAGCTACAAATATTCTCTTTTATCAGGGTAAGTTGCATGAAGGAATCCCTAAAACTGAATTGATCTGAAACACCAATCCTGGATCTACTATCGTCCAGGTGTACCAGATTTGCGCTCCTAAGGTGCTTGTTGTTATTCTTTCATTCTTATCGTCGATCACTCAATAAAGTCAAAGTAGTTAAGCAGAATCCTATGCACAATAGGAACTGAATATCATCTAGGAGGATAAAACTGGTTTTGTCTAAAAGGAGATAAAAGGACAAGATGAGCCTCTCTTCTGCACATAATTTAGGAAGTGTTGACAGTTTATAAAACAAATGTAACACTGTGCTATACCAGTTGTTTTGCTGGAGTTTCACAAGCAGAATAGAGATAGATCAACATAATCACTTCTGTGCTGCTTTAGCTGCATTTTACTGATAATTTGTTTCCTTAAATGGTTTCTTGTGAGATATCTTCCTGTTTCCTGGCATTCTAGAACATGGGGGGTGGGGGAGGGTGAATGAAAGGAATAAAAGCAGAGTGGACAATTAAATTTGACAGAAAAACACATTGTACAGGTTCAGTCCACTGTTAACTTTGATGTTGTTGCTATTTTTTAGGGTCAAGTACAAAGGCAAACCAAAAGCTAATGGACTTAACCTTTGGGGGGTTAATGAGAACCAGTAATAAGATGCAGTCAATTTCCTATCTCCCAATATATGTATCATTTTATTTCAGCATATGAGGAAGATTTTGAAGCTGATGAAGAGAAATCAGTTGGGAAAGTTGAGAAAGTTGAGAAAGAAGCACGTGCTGATGATCAAATGAGTGAAAAGGGGAAGCCGCTCTCCGAAGGGGAAACAGATCGTTCAGATGATGAAAGGAAGAAAAAAGTCTCATCACAGAAATCTTCACGGACTTCTGATAGTGAGCGAGATGAAAGTGAGGGATATACGGAAAGCTACACAGAGGAAGAGGAGAGAAAACATGGTTAGTTGTTTTTTTTCTTAAATTGAAGTACACCATCCTAATAGCTTTTTAATATTTCAGAGGACTCTTCATTTTCAGGGTCATGGTTAAGTATCAGTTAAAGTTGAATTTACATTCATTCAATCATTCATTCATTCATTTCCCATGTTCTTATTTTTGAATCTGTCTCTGTATCTGTTCAGCCAAAGAGGAGTGTACGAATGAAGGAATAAAGTTGACGGTTATAGAATGAAATATAGTATCTGTTATGAATTATGTCTGAATTTCAAGCCTGAGCCACAAGTGGTCTTACCTTTGTGTAGAATGAAATAGACTCTATTCTATTCTGTACAAAACAAGGCATAAGGGGAGCTTTGCTGTCTCATTGTCTTTTTTGAAACTTTCCTCATAACCATGTTACGTACTCTGTTCTATGTACTGTTGTCAAATCAGAAGCAGATCTTCAGTTCTTAGGAGGCTCCTGCCAGTAGATCTTTGAATAATTTCTATGCCAGTTAGCTAACAAAAGCTCCCTGCAGGAGAGACTGAGAAGATGGGATTATATTCTTATAAACTCAAATAGCTTGTAATCCATGGTTTACACTGGAGAAAACAAAGGCAAGTTGATGACTTTGTTTGCAAAGTCTGATAGTACGAACAATGGGCTGTGCTATGCATTGTCTTTTCTGAGTTGGTGGCATATTTTTCTCCCACTTTTTCTCCCATTTACAGGGTAGCCAGTAGATGTCACTTTAGCATTGTAAAGTGTCAAGTGCTGTAAGAGTATTCTCCATTTGCATCTCTGTCTGTCTGTCTGTCAGCAGTTGTAGAGATCTCTTGTCCTATCTTTGTGATCTTGCACCATAGACCTTTATGGTCCACTATTTCAACCCACCCTCACTTTGTTCCCACAATGAAATGCCCCAACCTCAAGGTGAAAAATGTGTGTTCATGGGCCAGTTGGGTTCGAGGCAGGGAACAAAAGCTCAGTGTAGCGAACCCTCAATAATTATTAGCACAAGGAGATTAAAATGTCACAGGATTTGTTTCAGGAGAATAAATAAGATTTTGGGTAACCTCTTTCTTTTCCAGTCACCATGACTGATGGAGATAATTATTTCCTGTATGTATTTGCAGCCACCCACTCCCATAAATAATCTAGTGGGAAGCATGTATTTCATTTCCCATTCATTAATACAAAAAGTGTGGAAGCAGGTCTCAAGCAGAGCACATTTGCAAGATTATGGAAGCGGCCAGCTTTTTGGCTTTCTGTTAATTTCTTCTTTTCTATTTTACTGTTTCTGATTTGGCTGTAACTTATTCCCCTCTTGACACTGAAGCTGTTCCAGACTTTTCTATATTTCCTGCTTATCCCTAAAATTCTTCCCATTTTGACGGGCCTTACTGTACATGAAAGAACATTGTTTTATTCAAACCAAATGTTAACGTTGCTTTTACTTTCATGTTTTCTCTGTGAAATATAGGCAAAGGTAAAGCAACTGACAGGGAAATGGATGCATCTGCCCGAAAGATCCAAGCTTTTTATAGGAAGCATAAAGGTCAACAGCAAACTCAGGCTGTCAAACCAGGTTTGGGGTTGGTTTGCATGGAAAAGAATCTTGGTTCTGATCAAGACAAACCCAATTTTTACATAGTCAGTGACTGTGACAAATAATCATCTTGCAGCTTTGCTAATCATTAATAAGCATAATTGCACATTTTGTTCCTTTTTTAAAAAGTTGGTGTGTCTTCTGAGGCTTGTGGCGAAATTATATCATATGATTTGAATTTCAACAATGATCATATTTGGTGTTCGGGAAAGTAATTAGCAGCTAATTTTTGCTTTCAAATGAATGTGGGCGACTTGCTTGTGGGGTTTTTGCTTCCAAATGAATGTATACAGACCTTTCTTTTTTGTGTAGGTATTTTTCTGTAGGGTACCGACTCTATATGATATGGATACCATACAGTGATGGATGGGGAGTCTCGCTTTGTAATAGAGGATTGTCCAGACAGAGATGATAATCAGAAGGCCAATGACTATCCTTTAATTGTTCATTTCCATTCCTCTTTGGTTCTGCTGTCAATACAATATTTAGATGTTTGTTAAAAGCTCACCCACCCCCCATTTCTTTCAGGTCGCTGGATGATTAGCCATGACTGAATTTGTTTTATATCTGAAAAAAATATATCCGAGCTCCTTGATTTGTTATTGTGTAATTTATTTTGTTGGAATGGAACAAAGTCATTTTGTCAGGGTCCTTGTTGATTTGTTTCTTTGCTTATAGTATCAATGGATTTCTTATTTAAAAGATTTGCATCTTATGCTGGACTGTTCAGACATAGAGAACAGATGCATCATATGATGAGTTTTTTTCCTTCTGTCTGTCTGCTATCTATCTATCTATCTATCTATCTATCTATCTATCTATCTATCTATCTATCTATCTATCTATCTATCTATCTATCTATCTAGCTAGCTAGCTAGCTAGCTAGCTAGCTAGCTAGCTACAGTATCTATCTATCTATCTATCTATCTATCTATCTATCTATCTATCTATCTATCTATCTATCTATCTATCTATCTATCTATCTATCTATCTATCTATCTATCTATCTATCTATCTATCTATCTATCTATCTATCTATCCATACATCCATACATCCATACATCCATGCATCCATCCATGCATCCATCCATGCATCCATCCATGCATCCATCCATGCATCCATCCATGCATCCGTCCGTCCGTCCGTCCGTCCGTCCGTCCGTCCGTCCGTCCGTCCGTCCGTCCGTCCGTCCGTCCGTCCGTCCTAGATAGATAGATAGATAGATAGATAGATAGATAGATAGATAGATAGATAGATAGTAGATAGATAGAAGTAAGAGTCCATCATCATGTCTTTCTAAAACCTCCCTGATACGTAAAAATAAATTAAAACTGATTTTTAATTTTAAGTTTGTGACATCGTCATCTGAATAAAAGATATATGTTACTAGGTGTTTTAGACAACTTATTCTTGACAGCTGTAGACCTGCAGGTCTAATTGAAGGCAAAATTTCTCCCAATGTGGAAATTTTTAATAACCTCTCCAGATAGATAAGGAATCTTTACTCTTATTTTTTCCTCCCATTGTTTTGTTGAGAGCTGGTCAGAGAGACTGAACTTATATTTTTCAGATCCTGGTAGGCCATAATGCTGTGAATAAATCAGGACTCATTAGTTAGAGAAAACATTTCATGATGTTTTGCTGAGGGTAGCAAACAGCGATTTTGCTATTAGTCTGTTTATATTCTCTAAAATACTGATAATATTTTTAATGAGCTGGCTAACTCAAAGATACTGTGTCTTTTTACATTCTTGGAGATTTAAACCTAATGCTATTTTGCATATTCTTCATAAGCCATGGGAGAGCAAGCATCACCGACTTCAGTTCCCACTTGCATCACTTATGTTTTGTATAAAAAAGGGGATAATATAAAGCTCCAAGTGTGTTTTTCAAGTGGATGAAGTGATTGTGCAGTGTGTGTGTGTGTGTGTGTGTGTGTGTGTGTGTGTGTGTGTGTGAAGAGAGGCACTTTTTCAGGCTTAATTCTAAGTTTCTTTACTTGACCTTACAAAAAATGCATCACAAGGATTGGGTTGCAGGATGCCATTAAATCGTAACTGTCTTTACTCTTTGTAGGTAGAAAACAAGTGCTTTCCGTCTCCGGCAGCAGCACATTATACAGCAGCGCAACCGAATCCGAGTCCGAAGGCAGGAAGCGTGATGAGGAAGAAGACGTTACAGACATTCATTCAGAATATGAGACGGAAACCACCAAGTCTCAACGGGAGGGAAGTCAGGGAACCGATGTGGAAGAAGAGGAAAACTTGGGGGAAACAGGAAGCTTGTCCACCAAGAATGTGCCAGATATCTTCTATGAAGAAAAAGTGGAGATGACCCTTCAGGACATGAGTCCGGGCCATGAGAAACCCAAGCTTATAGGGTCGGTAGACATGGGGGAGGAGGAAGAGAAGGATAAGTTAGTGCATTTGAAAAGCAGTGCCCTAGAAGGCTATCCGAGCAGGAAGATTTCTGAATATAAGGAAGGTGGTAAGTATGGTTTGCAGAGAGATCTGTACTAGGTTTGGTGAATACAAGTGTGTTGCTTTATTAATTCTTAAGTGAATGCTGATTTTCTGGTGCCGTGTTTTGATATTGAATATGAATAAAAACCTTGCTTGAATCTTCCTAAATCTATTAATATCCTTGAATGGGGCAAGATTTTGCTTTGCTGTACGGGCCAGATAACTGGTAGATATTTGTCTTGAAATTGCCGTCTTATTATTTCAAGTGCCGGGATTGAATAATATTACATATATAGGGCTTCCGTGAGTCTTTCTTTGTCACCATCACTATTGTGCATGGGTCATTTGGTGACTGAATTAATTTAATTTCTAGTTAGCCAGGGGCAAAGAGATGAAATGAATCTTAGATCAGTGAATATGCCTGGAATTGACAATGACCATAATTGAAACCTTAGTTGTACAATTCATACAAAAAGAACAAAATCAAAATAGTTGTGTATATTTTGTAAAGATTCAGAAACATAGGCCCTAAAACAAGTTTTTGTGTCTTTTTATCATTTGAGACAATGAATTGGGAGACCCAAATACATGATATTTTTTCAGTTTTTTCATGATCATGAAGCATATGGATTGCCATATTTAGGTTATCCTTCTTTATTCTGTATTAGATTATTTGATCATCTCGGCTACCATTGTCCAATACAACCTTTCCAATCCTGTTGACCACTAAATATATTAGGCTACAATATCCAGAATTGTAACCCATATGCTTATTTCTGTGAATCATAAAATACATATTATTTACATGATTATTCCCGTTTCCTGCCTCAGATCCCTTTGGCAAGAAAGACAAAAATATTTTATTTTGTTTTAATGTAGCTCGTGATGGAAATATTGTAAGAGTGAATCAATTCATACTAATTAGCATTTTATCAGTGGTGATGCAGGCATGAAAGAAAGCCATAAGTCATGCTAATATTTTTGATTTGTGGTTTGGAATATGTTCTTTGGATGGTGATACATTATGTTCTTGCTTGATTTAATATATTTTGATAGATTGTTTCATATGACTTTGTATTGCTGGATTTACTAGTTTGGCAGGGTCAGACGATTATAAAACGGTAATTGTCTGCTAACATCTTGGTGCTGGATTGCTTTTCATTGTCTTGCAATTTTTTATGTATAAAACATGGAGGAATATTGAAAAAAATACAGTTCGGGATAATTATGCTGAATTATTTATAGGTGTTTAGTTGCTTGAGATACTTTCCTTCATCCATATGCTAGGTTTTCAGTATGAGTGACTTTGCAATTACACTGTTAGATGAGATGAATATTTAAGTACAATTGAGGAATGAAATTAACCACTTAAGAGGAATACATATAGAATTAAATATTCTAACATTAAATGCAAGTGTGGAAAAAAGCATGTAGGCTGAGTCAGTGGCCTGCCCCAGATTTTAGCATAAAAGAATATCATTACTTCTATTTTGTTTAGACCATAATCATGAAATGACTGTGCAATGGTTTTAGCTTTCAGTATAGCATTCAGCAGTGTCTTCAGATTCTGCTGCTGTGATTGAAGGTAATAAAAATGTCAGCTACCAACATCTTTTAAAAAGAAGTTTTACAGGGTAGTAGTAGATGATATGGTATGCCTTGATGAATGTCCTGGCAAACAAAGAAAGTTGTTACTTAATATTTTCTGAATAGGAATGTGAGGACACGTGAACATTCTAATGGATGATTTTGATGATAGTTTTGGGAACAGCAAACTATTCAACCTTGGTAAATCATTAAGACCATGTAACGCTCAATTAACCTATTAGGTTGTGGTAGGAGATGAGACTCTAAAAATGGCCTGAAGCTCAAATACTGTGATCGGTTCTGGTCAGGTCTCTTTATTCACAGAAAAATCATCCCTATATAGAATGACTCCCCTGTTTTAAAGTGGGACTCAGATTGCAACATTTGCCAATAGCCAGAGGAAAAAAGTTAATTAAGAGTAGCAGGAATTCCCAGAAGAGACATATAAAAGAAGTATGTATGTGAAAATGATGCAAAAGGACATTCTCCCTTGGAAATGTATTACAGGTAGTACCTCTCAAAGGTCTGTAAATTGAATGAATCTTATTTCTTAGCATGTTGCCCAAATTCAGTGTGAGAGGCATTAACTCTCCTTCCATTTTTTGCCTGCGAAGTACCTTTAGCTGCCCACTGAGTTTCAGGCACCAGTTGATTATTTTGGCTGTTTTGCATTTTTTAAAACCATGGGTTAGGTTAGGTTTAATGGGTTGGAGTAGTATTTTTCAACATTGAAAACTTGAATATGTGTGGTCTTCCGCTCCCTGAGATCGCCCAGTTAGCAAGCTGGTTAGGAAATTTAGGGATTTAAAGTCCACACATTTTCAAGTTTTCAAGTTGAGAAACACTGGGTTAGCTTTAGGTTTGATCAAAGATCGATAGTTACGTCTTCAAATATATAGCCACGCCATATGACAGCCATGACAACAAAGATATCAGACATAATTGATTATGTCCGTGGTAGGCAAAAACTTTTCAGATGAGATAAAATAAAGGAATCTCCATGCACCAAACAGGATTTACCACATTATACATACGTTAACCTTTAGGTGATGTGGCGATATTGAAAATTTTCCTATAAAATAACAAAAGCACTTAGACTTATATATCGCATCATAGGGCTTTACAGCCCTCTCTAAGAGTTTACAGAGTCAGCATATTGCCCCCAATAATCTGGGTCCTTATTTTACCGACCTCAGAAAGATGGAAGGCTGAGTCAACCTTAAGCTGGTCAGGATCGAACTGCTGGCAGTTGGCAGAGTTAGGTTGCAATACTGCATTCTAACCACTGCACAACCACTGCTCATGCATGAATAGGGTGTCCATACTTAAGAAGAGCCTTCAGTATTTTCCTTTTTAAAAAGACAAGACATAAATGCTGAAGAGCATTTTTACAGAGCAATTTCTTTCTCCTTTAATGTCATTTTGGACAAAAGAAAAAAAATGTGTTGTTGCTTAGAAAATCATGGTTTCTGAGCTGATAGGAATATGATATTAATAATGGACATTTTGTTATAAACAAGTGAAATATAAACAACCGAATTATTAACACACTAAAGTTACAGTAAAAATAATAATTTTTAAAATTATAAAAATAATAATATTGTAGAACGGCATAGCAAAACTGGAGCATGTGGGGATTTACACTCAGCCTTTCCCATGCGTCAAAATGAGACAAAGCTTGCAAGTTATTTTACTTCCTTAAGGAATTAACAAAACTGTTGGAATTGTGTCAGGAAGCTTAGTATTCAAAGATGCCCTTATTTTATCTGTGATGGAATAATAGCTTTTCAATTGTATTGTTGCTATTACTGTTCTTGTTGTTATTTGTATCCTGCCTTCAGGATACCTTTCTGATTTTAATTTGTGCACAAATTAAAACCATTTCTGAACAAAGGTGACCTTACAGCTTGGTGATATTTGAAAGTGGTGAGTGCTTTGTGTAATTTTTGCATGGGAGAGACAGCATTGCATGAAATTTCCATTGCCTAAGGAAAGAATGACGTTTGCTTATATGTGCACATAATTCATCTTTATGGTGAAGAATTTTGCTGGATCTTAACTGCCATCCTTAGCTAGTTGTACAGTAATTGTAAGCTCATTTTATGTTCAAGGATGGGTTGGTTTTATTTTATTTTGTTTTTTGTTTTTTTTTGCTTTCTCTTTTGCTCTCTTCTTTTATGATTGTGGAACTATTTTTTTGAAGATCGCAAATCGGTCAGAGAGAAAATAGCTGAGGCTATTGAAAAAGATCAGCTTTTGAGTTCTGAACCTGAACCTAGCGATTACAGTACAGAGGATGAGGATGAACATATAACAGCTGCTCAAGACAAACTTGAAGGTAAGTTCTACTGTTTGCATGGAACCTGTCTTCAGTATTTGATTTTAAAATAAATTCTCAGTTATTTTGACGTAAGGCCACACTTGCTTTCAAGATATATCATTCCTAGGTATATGTGTGTACACATTGACCTTTAATGTTTGATTTAATGCATTTCAGAACCTTTATCTTCCTTTTTTCTTTGTATTTTCACTTTTTGAAAAAATAAAACTATATCAATTCCCAAAAAGAAAAAAGGGAATTTTACAAAAAAAACCACCCCAAAACACAATTAGACAAAAGCATGCAAATCAATTAAATAGCTTTCACTACCAGAGAGTAAGTTATCTCGCCACAAACTTCTTAGAGCAAAAGTGAAAGTGAAGGGAAGATAAAAGACCTGACTCTCCTATTGCTCTTACCAAGAATTGTGGTCATCAAGATCCCTCTTCTGCAAAGATATATGATCATCTTAGGGTTATCCTTGGTTGTTCCTAATGTTCCCATTCAGATCTAGGGAGCAGGTTTGGCTGCATAATCAGCTGTTTGTCCACGAGAGAAAAGAGATCACCTGTCACCATCTTGGGGGCAAAACCTTTATATTCCTATACTTTTAATTTTCTGAAGCTATTGTCTTTTTATGGACCTTTTCTGCAGTGGAGAACTTCTAATTGATTTATCATTTTTGTAGTCCAACTTCAGTGATATGGCCACTCTTTAATATTTTATAATAGTTAGTTTGCTTGGAAAAGGAAGGCTTTGCTGGCAATGTTTTGTGTAAAAAGAAGCAGCAAAATTAGTAGTGTAGGAGGAATACCAGGCAGTTTGTAAGGTAGACTAATAATGAACCATACAAGAGCAAGTTTTCAGAACACTCTTCTCTCTTGACTTATTCTACTTATGTGGGACTCTTGACTTATTCTGTAATGTGGGACCATAAAATTAACTTGTCCAATTTTCCATTATATTGTACCATCCTTCCCAAATCAGTTGCTCTCAGGTTAATCTAAGAAGCAAAGTGACTGATGGCTATCCATTCAAAATGGCTGGGCCAACAAGGGCAGGTGAAACATATGTCAATGTATTTTTTAAAAATGCCACACTGATAAAGTTCTCACAATTACAACTCATACTGTGCTTATTTTAATAGCACCAGATGACGTTTCCTTGGCAAAACGATCAAGAAGGACTGAATCGCAAAAGGCTGCAAAGCAAATGAAAAAAGAGAGAGAGATGATGGACAAGGAAGGAGTACTTGAGGAAGAGGAGCTTGTAGCTGGTAAAGGCCCCAAAGAAGCAGCTCTAACAGAAGAATTGCTAGCCCCCAAAAGAGCAAGTCTTAGAGGAGACCAGGGAGTAAAACCTGAACTTCTGGCAGGAAAAAGAGAATGGGAGAGAGAACCCATAGAATCAGACCTGGCCAGTATAGAAAAAGAAATAACCCCCAAGGGTGAAAAAATTGAGAGCATGACAAAAACAGGTGAAATGGCAATAAAACATAAAGCTGCTGATGGAGAGGAGGTTTTAGGGGGATTCAGATCAGAAGGGGAAGAAACTGAAGATGCCAAAATTAGTGAGAAGTCAAGAGCAGCAAAGAGAGAAGAACATGTGCGATGGCAGATCCTTGAGGGAGAAGAAGGTGCAGAAGTGACTGAGGCACCAACAGCTTTAAAGACAAGAGAATTAGAAAAAATTAAGACAGAGGACAGGCTTGAAGCAAAAGAAAAGATGAAAGGAAAATATGAGACAGCTGAAGATTGGGAGGCAACATCTGCAGAAAAGATCAGTATTGGAAAGGGACCAGAAAAGGTAGGAGAAGCTGAACCCAAAGAAATTTTTCAAGAGAAAAAACATAAAGCAGAGGCCGAAAAAAAAGCTGACATAATGGAAAAGGAAAGAAAGGATGAGGCATTTTTGAGGGAAGATGAGGAGAGAAAATATGAATTGAGGCCCATTTCCCCTTTGGAAGCAGGACTTAGACCACCACAATTAAAAGTGGAAGATGTTCTCTATGGAGATGAAAAAGCAGCTGCAGCAGAAAAGGCAATCACTAGTGGAAGAGAGGTTCCATCTGAGATGGAAGAAACAATCCAAGGAATTTCATCCAGATGGGATGAAGATTTATACCAAGAATATCCAGATGTGACTGGGATGAAAGCCATATCTACAGAAGATTTAGCCCTCAAGAAAATAGAGCCTTTGGTGGGAGAGGCCTTCCTCGACCATGAAATTGAAATAATTGAGGAAGACAAGTTAGCAGGCAAACCATATTCTGAAAGAGAGAAAGAGAGACAAGCAAGAGCAAAAGATATTTTGGCAATTGAGCAAACAGCCCAAGGAGAAAAGACTGTAGTACAACCTGTAGAAAGAGGAGCTGAAGAAAGAGGAGCAGAAGAAAGGCTAAAGTTCAAAATGGCAGCTCCAGAAGAGAAACTGGACTTGGAGAAAGAAGGGCTTTATATTGAACCCGGCTTAGAATCTATGGCAATGCTGATGGAAGAATTAGCAAAGAAGGAAAAAGCAAAAGGAGAGATGTGGGTTGAAGAGGCAGAGGGACAAGTAAAAGGATTATCTCCAAGACAGAAAATGATTGAAGAACAAAAAGCACCCAGAAGAAAGGCAGAAGCTGAAGAGAGAGGTGCTGAGATGGCACTTAAAGAAGAGGCAGAAACTGATGAGACAGAAGTTAAGACTAAACGTAAAGTAGGAAAAGAAGAGGTAGGAAAGAAAATGGAATATCCATGGGAAGCAGAAGGAGACATGGCACTTAAAAGGGAGGTAGAAACTGGAGAGGCTAAAGTCGATGTGGGACTTGAGGAGGAGTTAGAAGTCACAGAGGCAGAAGCTGACATGACACTTAAAGGGAAGGCAGAAAGAAGACATGTCAAAGCTAAGGTGGAACCTAAAGGAGAGTTATACACTGAAAAAGCAGAAGCTGAAATGACACTTGAAAGAGAGGAGGAAATTGGACGTGTCAAAGCTAAGGTGGAACCTAAACTAGAGTTATATGCTGAAGAAGCAGAAGCTGAGATTACACTTGAAAGAGAGGCAGAAATTGGACGTGTCAAAGCTAAGGTGGAACCTAAAGGAGGGTTATACGCTGAAGAAGCAGAAGCTGAGATGACACTTGAAAGAGAGGCAGAAATTGCACGTGTCAAAGCTAAGGTGGTACCTAAAGGAGACTTATATGCTGAAGAAGCAGAAGCTGAGGTGACACTTGAAAGAGAGGCAGAAATTGGACGTGTCAAAGCTAAGGTGGTACCTAAAGGAGACTTATATGCTGAAGAAGCAGAAGCTGAGGGGACACTTGAAAGAGAGGCAGAAACTGGACGTGTCAAAGCTAAGGTGGAACCTAAAGGAGGGTTATACGCTGAAGAAGCAGAAGCTGAGATGACACTTGAAAGAGAGGCAGAAATTGCACGTGTCAAAGCTAAGGTGGTACCTAAAGGAGACTTATATGCTGAAGAAGCAGAAGCTGAGGTGACACTTGAAAGAGAGGCAGAAATTGGACGTGTCAAAGCTAAGGTGGTACCTAAAGGAGACTTATATGCTGAAGAAGCAGAAGCTGAGGTGACACTTGAAAGAGAGGCAGAAATTGGACGTGTCAAAGCTAAGGTG